GAGCCCCCAGAAGCTGGAAGTTCGAAAAAACAACCACCAGAACACGTAGAAACAGCACACAAGCAAACGACCGTCGTGATTTGTTCACGACGCGAAGGGGTCTGAGATTCGTTCGACCCGCGAGCCTGGGGGAGAAGCGAGACGGGGCGGGCCTTCTCGGAAGGCTTGTAAGGCCCCCTGCCTTCTGAAAGTTTTCGAAGCCTTCCACGAAGACGTACAAAAAGCTCTCGGAAGGCGCGAGGGCTGCTGAGAAGCCCCGCCGCCTTCTGAGAGAGCCTCCTCCCTCTCGGACGTCTGGCGGTGTTCGGGTCACAGCTCGGCTCTCCCGTGGCCGGTCGGGGCAAGCCGGGCACTCTCTGCCACGCTCTCGGCAAGGCGCAGCCGCTGGAACACGTCCTGAGGCTGGGAGACCGCCGAGAACCGACGAAAAAACGTCCGAAGAACTCGAGCCTCGAACCTCCTCACTTTCTCCCGGGCACGCCGCCGAGAGAGGAACATGGTGGATCCGATGATGATGTACGGGGTCTTCCACGACGTGTACCCGAAGCCGGGCCTGCTCGGCGGCTACCTGGGCGACGGCTACCCGCTGTGTTCGGACCTCCCTTCGGGAGCCTTCCTGCGCGAGGGGGCGAGGTGCCCCAGGGACCACACTCGGCGGCGAGCGAGGGGGGACAGTGGGAAGGAGAAGGAGGAGGGGGGGGAGGAGGGGGGGGAGGAGGGGGAGGAGGAGGAGGAGGAGGAGGAGGAGGAGGAGGAGGAGGAGGAGGAGGAGGGCTGCTCAGAAGGCTGTGGAGCTTCTTAGAAGACGTTCGGCCTCCTGAGAGAAGTGTTCTGTCTTTCCGGGGGAGGCTCAGATCAGAAGGCCTGGGGGCGTCCGAGCCTTCTGAGAAGGTCCGCTGCCTCTCACTTCCCCCCATGCTGTGCCGCCGGCACTGGGCAGGAACAGTCAACATCGAATCGGGAAATCGGACTGGATCGGAATGTGCATCGAACCAGGCCGCACCGGCACGGGGTTGGGATCGGATCGGATCCGCCGTGCCAGGGTACCCAACGGCATCGTGCGAGCAGAGGGCCGCGTCAGGTCGTCGGAACCCTTCAGATCTGACGTTCCCGAAGAAATGCAACATCGCGAAAAAACAGGACTCCTGGGCCCCATCTTTCTGCGTCATGTCTCGACCCCGATCGATCTGAGAGGGTCCGGGGGCCCGAAACGGGACGACAACACCCTTTGTGAAAAGTTGCTATGCCAGGATCTCAGGGGTTCGACTACACGTGCGAGTTATCCTTCGCCGGAGTGACCTCTGGTGCGGGCTCACCGGGGTCCCCCCGATCGCTGAGCGCGACGCGATCGTGGCTGCTCGCGCGCTTTGCTGTGGCCACCCTGCGCCCCCTCAATCCGCGCGCTGAGGGCCACTCTTGCCAGGGGCCACTCCTGTGTGCATAAAACGACACGAAGATCGGGACAAAATCGGATCGGGATAACTCGAAATCTCTGAGAATCGGCGGGTTTGGAGGATGTATTGGGCGCCGCAGCCGCTCCAGAGCGTTCCGGAACGAGAGCGCTCCAGAACGCTCTGGAGCGATTTATCCCGATCCTAGCACTGTTTTAGTGTAGCCAGGACATGTCGGAATCGAATCGGGTCGAGCCTGCCAGGATCGATACGTCGAATCGGCGGAGCGTCGCGTAACGGGGGCGCGAAGCATGGGAGGGGCAGCGATTGTCGCAGGACAGGGGCCCTTGAGGGCCCCCAGAGGGGCCCCTGAGGGCCTACACGGGGGCCCGTGGGGTCCGAAAAGTGCACCCTTCTTCCCCCCCCAATGTGTCGCCTCCCCCACTAGGCGACGCCCAGATGAAAAATTGCAGGGCCAGGATCCCACGGATATCGGCATCGAATCGGATCGAGCCAGCCAGGATCGATATCGAATCGGATCGAGAGGGGCCTTGGCCTTTCAGGCGGCGTGAGCCCCAAAGCAAGTCCGGCGGAGGGCTGCGCGGGCCGCCTCCTCGGGCCTGCGCTGGACATCTCGGCGGCGCGCACGAGTCGGCTGCACTTTTGGCAAGTGCGAGCAGCCCTGTGGCACGGGGGTGAGGGGAGGGGAAGGGGTCAGAGAGAGAGAGAGAGGAAGGGAGGGGAAGCGCGCGCCCGAGCGCGACGCCGCGAATTCACGTAAGAGCGGCCCTTCGCCGGGATGACCTTTGGTGCGGGCCCACCGGGGCCCCCCGATCGCGGAACGCGATGCGGTTCTGCGCGCTCGGGCTTGGCCCCCCTTCAAGCAGTGGCTAAGCGTCCTGGTTTGCCTATAGGCCCACCAGAGAATGTTCTAAGGGCCGTTTGTGGTCTGCACGAGATGTGCTTAGAACATGTCTGGGCTTCTGTTCTGAGAGCCTTGTTTTAACGCATCGGAAGTATGTTCTAAGAATCTTGGTTTTGTTCTTAAAACAGTTGTGGGTTCTCAGAACATTTCGTGGTAGGCCTATAGAGACTGCCGCGACGGTCGGTCCCAGCTCAACCCCCGCGGCCCCCGAGAAGCCGCGCACCGAAGGCCACGCTTTTCTACCCAGGCGGCCACTCCCTGCGTGCAGTCGAGCGAGGGGCGGGAGGCTCCAGGCCCCTCCGCTCGCCCGGGGATGGGGTGCGGGTCGTCGTGTTTGTTTGTTTTCCTCCTTCTCCGCCCCGTCGGCCCATCCCTGGCCGCTTTCGCTGGCCGCGCCCCGCTCGCAAAGTGTCGACAGGGCCTTCCAAGGCCCTTGCATCCTTGCCGCGCATCTTCGTGATGCGGGTTGATTGGAAAACAAAAAACTCAGGAGGGGGAAATACACACAGACACAAGTAATCGTCGACTCCCAGGAGAAGATGGGAAAATATGGGAAGTAGGGGGTAGACGAAGACCCAGAAAATGTCAGTAAAACATATATGTATTTGTGTGCCCCTGGGCCCCTTCAGTAAGCAGAAAAAACTTTGGGACGGCGCTGGGCCCCTTTTGGCGGCACCGCCCCTGGGCGTGCTCTTGCGCGCCAGGGAGGGGGCCTCCTTGGCGCGGGTCCGAGAAATCCGCGCGGGCCTCCAAAAGTTAACACGCCGGTCATTGAAAGTCAGAGGACGAAAAAGGTACCCGCACCGCTACCCCTTCGCCCGTTTTCCCTTTTTCGGGCCTCCTCGTAGGCCTTCGTCGCCACCGTTGAATTCGCTTCGAATGTTTGGCCAGAGCGCATCCCAGGAGAGGTCTGTGGAGTAGCGCTATGACTACGCTTTGGTCTCCCCAGTTGAAAGTAGGTAACTTTGGATGATTAGATTCTAATGTATTTCAAGCTCCTTCCTACTTCAAGCGTCGATCTATGTTGTTGGTGTGAGTTGTTTCCTCGGGTGGGCCCGAACCTAATCTGCTTGTCCGCCTTGCTACGTCGTGTTTCTACATACGTCTTCCGAGCGATGTGTATGATTCCTCTCGCTTCGCGGGGTGCACGTCCGGAGCACGTACAGTCACGTCGTCGCGGGGCCTCTTGGGAGCCTTTGGGGGGCCTCCTGGAGGCCTCCTGGGAGTTTCTTTTGGCCTTTTGGGGGCTTCTTTGGGGGCTTTCCCCCCTCCCTCCTTTTCATGCACCCTCCCCATCTTCCCTTCCATCGCCGGCTCCAATCATGGGCGCCGCAGTGACCAACTTCCACCTGGCTGGCGCTGCGCCGCAGTTCGCCCAGAGGGGGGAAAATAACATTACACACCAGTCGTTGTGTGGCCTTTGGGGGGCTTGTTGGAGGCATTTTGGAGGCTTCTGGGGGACTTCTTGGAGGCTTGTTGGGGGCCTCTTGGGGCCTCTTGGGGGCGTCTTGGGCCGTCTTGGGGCGTTTTTGCGCCGTTTCGCCCCCTCGGAGGCTGCCTTGGGGGCCTCTCGCGGCCGCATTGGAGCCCTCTTGTGGTCCTCTTAGGCCGTCTTCGCTGCCTCTTGGACCGTCTTTGGGGCCTCTTTGGGTCGTTTTGGGGCCCTCTTGGTCCGTCTTGGGGCCCTCTTGGGGGCCTTATTGGGCTGTTCTGGGGCGAGTCTGGAAGCTGCTTGGGCCGTCATAGATTTTTGAAAGCCGAAAAAAACGAGAACGCTAAGAGATTGCAAGAACCATCGGAAAATCAATGATTTCGGCATCTGGAGGCGCAGTTATGGGCGCTCTTGGGCCCTGTTGGGCCGTCCTTGAAATTTTGGGGCCTTCTTGGGGCCGTCTTGGGGGCCTCATGGGCCCCCGTTGGGAATATTTCGGGACGTCTTAGGGCCATCTTGACGCCCTCTTGGAGCCCCAAGAGGCCCAAGAGGCCGAATTTGTTGATTAGTCATAGGTTTTTGTAAGTTTTTAGGGCCCCAGAAGGGGGGGATCACTTTGGTCCGGCGGTGTGGCGCAGCTCCCAGGGGGGGGGGTAGGGGGGAGACATAATAATGTAACGCAATACAATATGTTGCAATTATGGGATCTTTGGATACATTGGATACGTTGCATTAAGGCGTTCGCCGAAAAACGCTGCCGCTCAGCTCGTCACCTCCGGACGTGGATTCCTCTCGCTTCGCGGGGTGCACGTCCGGACTGCGGAGAGTACGGGCGTTTTGGACGCCTTGGGAGTTGTTTTGGAAGCTTCTGGAGGACCTCTTGGGGGCCTATTGGGGAAGCTTGGGGGGTTATTGGAACTACTTTTTTGGTTCTCTGGCACAGGCGTGACCAGGGGGGAGGGGGCTGGTCACGTCACGATTCGCGCCCGCGGGAGGTGGAGGGAGAGGGAGCCTCGCCTGTGAGTGACTTGCGACCCTCTGGGACACACGGAGGAAGGAGATGAGGGAGGATGCGTGCTGCTCCCTTCGGTCGTGCTTCGGCACGTACCTTCTGGGACGCACGCAGGAAGTAGATGAGGGAGGATTCGTGCTGTTCCCTGGGGTCGTGCTCCGGCACGTACCCTCTGGGACGCACGGAGGAAGGAGATGAGGCGTGCTGCTCCCTTGGGTCGTGCTCCAGCACGTACCCTCCGGGACGCACGGACGAAGGAGATGAGGGAGGATGCGTGCTGCTCCCGTGGGTCGTGCTCCAGCACGTACCCTCTGGGACGCACGGAGGAAGGAGATGAGGGAGGATGCGTGCTGCTCCCTTCGGTCGTGCTCCGGCACGTACCCTCTGGGACGCACGGAGGATGGAGATGAGGGAGGATGCGTGCTGCTCCCGTGGGTCGTGCTCCGGCACGTACCCTCTGGGACGCACGGAGGAAGGAGATGAGGAAGGATGCGTGCTGCTCCGTTGGGTCGTGCTCTGGCACGTACCCTCTGGGACGCACGGAGGATGGAGATGAGGGAGGATGCGTGCTGCTCCCGTGGGTCGTGCTCCAGCACGTACCCTCTGGGACGCACGGAGGAAGGAGATGAGGGAGGATTTGTGCTGCTCCCTGGGGTCGTGCTCCGGCACGTGCCCTCTGGGACGCACGGAGGAAGGAGATGAGGGAGGATGCGTGCTGCTCCCTTGGGTCGTGCCTCGGCACGTACCCTCTGGGACGCACGGAGGAAGGAGACGAGGCGTGCTGCTCCCGTGGGTCGTGTTCCGGCACGTACCCTCCGGGACGCACGGAGGAGAGTGCAGGAGTTGGAAGCTGATTTCAAAGGGTCTGTTTTCCTTGCAGACGTGTCGTTCCTCCGCTGCCCATGTTGGCCCAAGGCCACTCTGCGCTCGCAGGAGCTTGCCTCTTGCGGGCCTCGCGTCCTCCGTGCCCTCTGCTCCACAGATGGGCGCCCGGGCGCGCAAACAGAAACGCGACCACGCAGCAGCCTCCAACGACCCTCCAGCGCCACCTTCTCCAGCGCCGGCGCCTCCTGCTGCGCCCACCACGGCGCGGAACCGCAGCCCGAGGCCCTTCGTGGCCCGGGCGGCGGCGCACCTTGCGAGGGCGCAAGCGCCTCCTCCTCCTCTTCGACCGTCGGCAGCGGCAGCCGTCGCGTCGCCGCCGTCGGCCGCGACAGCCTCGGCCGAGTTGCGCAGCGCGGAGGGCGTCGTGCCGCGGCCGTTGGCCGCGCCAGCCCCTGGGGAGCTGCGAGGTGGGTTTGAGGGCGTCTGGGTTCGTTTCTTGAGCGTCTTCTGGACTTTCCTGGAGACGGAGTTTTGCCGCTTTGCGGCAATCCGCCAGACGACCCCCAACGGGCACCTAACGTTACCCATGGCGGTCTCGCTGAACTTCGCCGAGGACGTGGCGACGCGGCTCTGGGATGTGTGGTTGGCTTTCGTGTCCGACGCCGCGTTGCCGACCTTCGCGACGGAGTTTGCGGCTCGCGTGACGGACCTCCTGCCCAGGGTGCTGCGTCGTGAGGATGCAGGCGGGCGTCCTGTCACCGGAGGTCTCTGCACCGAGGGTATGATCGCCGATGACCTCGTCCGTGCGCCGCGGCGCATTCGCGGGGAGGTGCCCGGGGGCGGAGCGATCGATAGGGACCGCGTCCGCCAGGGCCTCGTGGTCATCACGCGATCCCCGGTACCTCAGGAGGGCAAGCCGCGTCAGCGCTTCATCGCGGTCATCTACAACTTTGAGGGGGACGATTTCCCAGACACCCTGGATGCGGGCCCCGATCGCAGGGCCGCGGATCACCGGAGCCTTGCTGATGACGACGAGGCGCTCCCAAAGTGGACCCGGGTGCAGTTCACTCTGTGCGACAGGACGCGCTGGGTCTGGGACCGGCAGACAGGGCAGTCGGCAACCAAGAGTGAGACCACCATTAGCCGCCTATGGCGCGCTCCGTCTGTCTAGAGAGAGTGCGTTTTAAGCGGGCTGCAGGTGCGGCGCCGCTAGGAGGAGAGAGGAAGGAGAGGGCGCGGGGGAGGAGGAGCAGGAGAAGGAGGAGGAGGAGGAGGAGGCGGAGGAGGAGGAAGAGGGGGAGTGGGAGGGGGAGGAGGAGAGGGAGGGGGAAGACGAGGGGGGCGCGGAGGAGGGGGAGGCGGGGGAGGAGGAGGAGGAGGAGCAGGAGGAGGAGGGACCAAACTACACCACCCTGCCTTCTCTCCTCGCTGTCGTCATCGCCAGCGTCACGGCCGCCTACTTGCTATGGTTTTTATTATCACCATTATCATTGTTATTACCACTCCCCTTCTTCTTCCTCGTCGCTCGTTTCTGTCTGGCAAATAGTCACGGCTCCTTGTAGGCCAAAGGGCCCAGAACACCAGTGCGTCAGCACTCGCTCTGGCTACGCGGCCACATGCCGCGATCGCAGCGAATTAGATGCGGCTTCAGAACATGGTCTTGCCTGCTTTAGCCGCAGATGCCGCTTGTTCTTTGCAGGGGACGGTGCCGCGAAGGACTTGCCTCGCCCCCGCCCTGCCACTTGGCTCGAACTTTCTCGGCCCTTTTTTTTTTTTTTGTTTTTATTCCCTCACCCGTGCAGCCGGCGCCCCCGTCCTCAGCATCTTCTCCCCCGCCCCCGCCCCTAGGCCCACCAGCTGCACGGCAGAGCAAGAACCAGTAGCGTACCGCCGATTCTTCATACGCCGACAAAGCCGCACGTGGAAACTAAAATCGAACCACATAAACCAGTCGATCGCCATCATCACCATCACCACGCATCGCATGCGCGGCACGTTCGCGCGTGCAACCTACAGGGCATCATGCGGCATATGCGTTCCAGCCGCAAGCTCTCTCCCGCTCTACGAGTTCCCCGGCGACGCCTGGGAGCGGGCGATGGGGGGAGGGCGACGGCGACTCGACCGACGAACGACGACCGACGACGATGACGACGCGACGGCGCCACGACGCGCGGACGGCGGCGGCGGACGACGACGACGACCGACGACAGCCGACGAACGACCGACGAACGACGACCGACACGACGACGACGACGACGACGGCGGCGGCGGCGACGGCGACGGCGACGGCGACGGGGGCGGCGATGGCGACGGCGACGGCGACGGCGACGGCGACGGCGACGGCGATGGCGACGGCGACGGCGACGACGACGACGACGACGACGACTACGACGACCGCGGCGGCGACGGCGGCGGGGGCGGCGGCGGCGGCCCAGCCGCCCAGGGAGCCGCGAGGTCTCGGCAAGGTGCGCGTGGCCTTCCACCCCGCTGGACTTCCCAGGGGCCCGCGAAAGTGGGGACAGGCGGGCAGTTCGCAGCCACCCAGGGAGCCGCGTGGTCTCGGCTGGATGTGCGTGGCCCTCCATTCCGCTCGACTTCCCAGGAGTCCACGAGAGCGTCCCCCAGAGGCCTCGGCCTCGCCTCCAGAGGCCCCCGGAGGGCCGACGACGACGACCGACCTCGATCCCAGGCTTCGGACGACCTCGACAGTGCTTCCGACGGAGTCCCTCCTCCCTCCTACCTCCTCCCTCCTGTCTCCTGTCTCCTCCCTCCTTGCCCCCTCCTCCCTCCTCCCTCCTCCCTCCCTCCTCCTTTCCTGCCCATTCCATAGCACTCCCCGATTCTCCTCCGGAGTCCGCCCCAACCCCATTCCTCTCTCCCCCTCCGCACTCCTCCCCACTTCTCTGCACCTTTCCCCACTTCATCGTACTCCACGGCACGCCCCCCCACTCCTCCAAACTCCTCCCTCCGTCTCACTCCTCGGCACTCCTCCCTGCTCCTCCAGATTCCTCCCTCCGTCGCAATCCTCGGCACCCTTCCCCACTCTTTCAGAATCCTCCCTACTCCATTGCACTCCTCAGCACTCCACCCCGTTCCCCCCCACTCCATTTCACTCCTCGGCGCTCCTTTCGTTCCTCCGCCGTCCTCCCTTCCTCCTCCCTCCCTCCCCCCTCCCTCCTCGCTCCTCCGGGGGGCCTCCGAAGGCCTCCTCCGTCCTCGATCCGAACGCGGAGTCGACCCCAGGGCCCCCGACCTCGATCCGAGGGCCTCCGACAATCTCGACAGGGCCTCCGACGGACTCCCTCCTCGCTTCTACCTCCTCCCCCCTCCCTCCTGTTTCCTCCCTCCCTCCCCCCTCCTCCCTCGTCGTCGTCGTCGTCGTCGTCGCCGTCGTCCGTCGCCGTCGCCGCCGCTGTCGCCGCCGCCGTCGCCGTTGCCGTCGCCGTTGCCGTCGCCGTCGCTAGTCTGACTCAGTCTTGGTGGCCGTCGTGGATGCGCGGGGTTTCCCGGAGGTGCCCGGGGGGTTATAGCCCTGTACCCCTAGAGCCCTATATCCCTACAGCACTATAGCCCTATCGCCCCATAGCCCTCGTAGGGACTCGAAGGGGGGCGCTTCTGTGGGCCATCTTGGGGAGACAGGTGCGCATATTTCCGTAAACGTATGGCTCAAGCGTACTCGGCGAATTCTCCGCTAGTGTGAACAATTACACGCGCGCTCTGCCGCCGACCAGCCTCCTTACTGTACCGCCCAAGGTGCACGCCTGATTTGGGAGATGTCCTCCTTCCTTGCATCTGGGCAATCGCCGCTCAAGATGCGCAAGCTGGGCAAACAAACGCCGATGCAGCTCATGGCTTTGGAGGTGTTCTCAGACGTGAACGTGCAGGTCGGCGACATTGAGCTGACCAACGGAGTGCTTGCCTACGTGTGCCCGGCAGTGGACCTCGTGGACCGCTCCAAATCAACGGACGCCTCTCGTTGGCGAAGCCAGTGGAGGCGCTACCCGAGAACGCATTTCCGGTCCTCAGCCCCAGCAGCATCACGGCAGAGTTACGGCGAGTGGACCGAGGCGCCGGGGCAGATGCCGCTGGCGTGGACATTGGGAACCTCTCCCAGTCGGTGCGCAAAGCGCTGGAGCAGAGCGTGTCCTTCTGGGACCCGCCGAACAGCGAGCCCACGTTGCACGTGCCACTGCGACAGTCTGCTCTTCGGCATTCCAGTGCGATGCCAGCGGGTGCTCGCGAGAGTGCCCAGGAGCCACCGCGGAAGACTGCGCGCCCGAAGAAGCGGGAGTAGCTGTACCCTGGCGACGCTGACCTGACGAGCAACACCCAGAGCTGGCGGAGAGGACTGGGGGATGGGGGGGCAATCTGGAGACGTGCAGTTCCCATCTCGCTTTGGAAGAAGTTATCCAGGATTCGTTCCTCGGCGTCAGAGTTTGCGTGTATCGAACAGAGCTTGCGCAAATAATGTGCGGCTTTTTTACACTGCATGTACACTCCGCAACGCATTGTCGCGCGTGGGAATCGACGACCCGAAATCCTTCACATCAGTAATTTTGGGTCTCGGAGCCCACGGGGCGGTTTTTTATGTTTTGCATTCGACGTTCCATGAAGCCCGATGTCATTCCGAGGCGCGCGTCGAACGTTTTCGATGGCGCGTAGCGTTATGCGACGTCGCGTGCGTTGTGGTCGTCAAAGGCTTGCGTGCTTATTGCGGATCGGTTGATGTGGGCTGGGGTTTCTCAGGATTGTACGTTTGCTTTGCGCTGGGGCGGTTTCGCCCCCCATCCCTGGCCGATCCACCCCGCGGGTAACGTCGCAGGAAGAGTTCGAACATTTGGTTCGTAGTGCCAGCGATGCTGTCGCGGACATTGACCGCGCCACGGGGGGGGGGGTCGTCCAGAAATTTCCTACCATATTGCAGTGTTGGTTCTTCGTTTTGAAGATGCACCGCCCCGCGTCATTCCTTCCTGCCCCCTCTCCCTCGTCCTCCCTCTTCGCGTATTTGCCCCTGCTTTCCGCGTGTCCCCGTCGTCGTCGTCCATCGTCATCGTCGCCATCACCATCATCATCAGCATCATCAGCATTCTCGTCGTCTCCATCATCAATACCACCACCGTCCTCATCAACATCATCAAAACACCTCCTTGTTCCCCCGCGTCTCTGCTTCGCCACATCCCCCGCAAGTCTCGTGGCCTTGTGAGGTGTTCCACCGAAGGCCCCATCGGCAGGGTCCTTAGTGCGCCGCCCAGCCCATGTCGGCACGCCCCTCAGACGCTTCGTGCCCCCATGAGGAATTCATCGGAGGTCCCGGCGGCAAGGTCCACATGCCGTCGCCCAGGCCACATTGACACACCCTCAAACATTTCGTGCCCCCATAGGCAGCTCCACCAAAAAAAGGTCCCAGCGGCAGGTTTCCCAGGCCGCCGCCCAGCATATTTCGGCATACGTTTCGCACGTTCCGTGGCCCCACGGGGAGCTGCACCGACGGCCCCACAGGCAGGGCCCACAGGCCGCCGCCCAGCCCATTCCGTCATACGGTCACACGCTTCGTGGCCCCATTGGGGAGCACCCCCGATGGCCCAAGCGACAGGGTCCACATGCCGTCGCCCAGCCCATGTCGCCCACGAGTGGCGCCCAGCACGGCTCCAAAAGCGCCCCAAGAGGCGCCGAGGAAGTTGCACCCTCATACAAATAGTTTTTGTCACTTGTGGGGGTCCTCTTGGGGCCGTCTTGGAGCATTCTTGGGGCTCTCTGGGAGCGTTCTTGGGGCCTTCCCGGGGCCCCAGTGGGCCCCCGGAGGGCCCCGAGAACGTTCCCCGAGGGCCCCAAGAGGGACCCCCCAAAGTGGTACAAAGAATTCGCGCGAACGTGCAATCTGTTGTAGGCCTTTCGGGGCCCTCTGGGAGCTCTCTTGGGGCCCCCATTGGTGGCGCCTTGGGGCCTTGGGATGGCTCCAAGAGGCTTCGGGATTGCCCCAGACCGCCACAAGACAGCTCCGAGACGGCCGTCGAGCACCACGGGTGAAAGCAAGTGAGGCTAGGGAACAGGGCCTCTGGTAAGCCGCCACTGCGCCCCCTGGACTACCCAGACAGCGAGGGGACCTGAAACGCCCTGGGGCTCCAGGGGCCCCAGATTAGTGAAGTGAAGGTTTTTGCCATGCAAGCACCCCGAAATTCTTCACTTCACTAAACCGGACCCAGGACGAACTCGCTACGCTCCAGTCCCGCGGGAGATCCGAGACTCCCGCCGCCGCCCGGGGACGCTGCTGCATTGCGGTGCTCTGGTCACTGTTAATGGCTTCCGCGGGCTGCAGCGGCTCACTTCCATGACTACCCCGACTCACGACTCCAGTGGTTGGTCTGGCTCTATGGGTTGGTTTCGTTGTGTCGGTTGATTTTATGTTTGGTTGGCGGTCGGTGGATTTCGCATTATTCATTGGTGTCGTGAAGTGATGTGTCGTTTGGTTGGTCAGTGCCGTTTTGTTGATTCGTGCCGTTTTGTTGGTTGGTGTCGTTTCGTTAGTTGGTGTCGTGTTGTTGCTTGGTGTCGTTTTGTTGTTTGGTGTCCTTTTGTTGGTCGGTGTCGATTTGTTGGTTTGTTGGTTGGTGTCGTTTTGTTGGTTGGTGTCGTTTTGTTGCTTGGCGTCGCCCTGGCGGCGTGGCCGATAATCGTCGGCTTGCAATGGCGCCAGGATTTGTTTCGGGCCAGCCTTGATCGCCCTCATCATTCTCATATTCGTCAGCGTCAGCACTCGTCGCCCCCATCCGCGCACACATGCGGCCCTGGTACGGCTCTCACGCGGCCCTGCGAAGGCCTTCACTGTGCTCCCCAAAGCTTTCTGAGGGGCCCCCCAGAGGCCCCAAGAGGGCACTGCAAATTGTCGCTTCCAACTCCGCCAGGCGGAGGTCAACAAGGGTCTCACTGGTGCACTTCCAGGAATCGTTGTTCGATCCTCTTGGGGCCCTCCTGGGGCCTTATGGAGCCGTCTTGGAAGCTCCGAGCGGCTCCATGAAGGCGCCGGTCGATATCGCTTCCAATTCCGCCAGGTGGAGTTAGACCAGGGGCTCACTGAGGCCCCTTTTTGCGCCCTCCTCTGCTTTTGAAAAAGCCCCGATGGGGTTCTTCAGTGCCGTCTTAGGGCCCCTAAGAGGCCTCCAGTAGGGTATTGAAGTTATCGCTTCCAACTCCGCCACGCGGAGTTGAACCCAGGGCGGCTCTCTGTGGCCCTTTCGGGGCCTTCTTAGAGCTTTTCTGAGGCCCTAAGTGGGCCCTGGGAGGTGTCATTTTCACGGGAGTTGAAAGTGACACCGCGGAGGGCCCTTTTGGGCCCTTCTTAGGGCCTCTCTTGGGTCCCTCTGGGGGCCCTCTTGGTGCCGCCCTGGGGCCTTCTCGAGGCCTTCTTGGAGCCTTTCTGGTGCTCTTTAAGTGGGCCCTGGGAGGTGTCACTTTCAGGGGCGCTGAAAGTGACACCTCGAAGGGCCCGCTTTCCCTCGTAGCGCTGCCCGTGGCCGGGGCATTGTGCAGCGCATCCCTCGTCGAACGCATTTTGTCGGACGCGTGGTCGAATTCCGCCAGTTCGGTCGAGATGGTGGTCAAGCGGTTCGGTTGCAATGTAGCCATGCGGATCTGAGCTTACCATTTCTTGCCATTTTGGCGGGGGTTCGCAGGAGCGTTTGTGTTGTGATCAACTGTGCTCGATATATCCAGCGGCAGGGTTTCATCCCAATATACTATTTTGAAAAAGTCAGCAGGGGCCAAATTGGTGATGTGAAGCAACATAGGTATCGTAGGGAAGGTTGATTATATGCGAGGTTTCGTGTACACACCTTGAAGGATGGCGCTGCGCTTGCTTGCAGTGCCACGGTCGCGCCATGCGTGCTCTGTGGAAGGTGCGTCAATGCGTGTACATGTGCGCGCGCGTATGGTCAGTATATTTACATATCTGTTCCAGATATGCATTCACGTCGGGGCGTGGCAGGCAGGTGGCACGGCACACGCGGTGCGTAGCAGACAGGGTTGTGCAGCAGTCGTCGGTAAGGTGGGGAGTGTGCAGGGAGGCCAGGCCATGCGCATCGTTGCCCGATCGCAGGACTGCAGACGCACCAGATCACCCCCGACCCGCAGCAGATGAACATCCTGAACGCCGTCGCCGACAGGTGCGTCCAGGAAGCCAGCGAGCAGGACCAGCCGCGCGGGTCGCCATGCTCCCGGCTGTTCGTCCTCGGCTTACCCGGACCAGGGAAAGTCCGAAGTCATCCGGTGGCTGTGCGACGAGAAAGTGGGGCTGTTTCCGACGTGCATGGGATGGGAGCACGAGGTGCATTTCATGAAGACCGCCCCAATGAATTCCATGGCGAGCAACATCGGTGGGCGGACCATCCACAACTTCAGCAAGCTTGGAATCGATCTCATCACGGGAGTCCAACATTCTCCCTCAGCAGCAGTTTGTCAGAACGGCCCTTCCTCCGCCATGGCGAAGGCCACAGGGCAGGCAGCGTGGGTTCAGTGTCAGAAATGTGGCCCACGCTCTTGGACTCCTATTGCTAGCGGCAAGCAGTGGTGTCATCTTTGCGGGCTCTACTATAACAAGGGCGATCAGCCTCAACGTGGAGCCCGTCGCCGCAAGGGCGGTGGCAAGAGCGCAGGCGGCGGCGTGGGCGCGGGCGGCGCAGGCGGCGCCGCCGGGCTCTCGCAGCAGCAGCTGGATGCCATCGCCAAGCAGGTCACCGCCATCACAGCGGCCGCCGCCTCAGCCCAATCGCCAGCAGCAAGCCATCCTGCCGCGGGCGCAGCGCCTGGCCACGGGAAAGGATCGCGTGGCGCAGGCAAGGGCAAGGACACGGCAGCACCCCCACCAGAGGCGCCTGCCACCGACGACAAAGACAAGAAGATCGAGCAGCTCGAACTTCTCGTCAGCACTTACCAGCAGATGGACGCCACCGCCATGCCCGATGTGGCCGCCAAGCTGCAGCAGGCCCGAGCGGACCTGGTGGACGCGCGCGCGGCGCAGGCCGCCAGCCTGCCGCCTGCACAGCGCATGGCGCGCTGCCACACACGCGCGCAGCGCGCGGCCGAGAAAGTTGAGAAGATCAAGCACCAGATTTCAGAGCTGGAGAAGACCAAGCAAGAGCTGCAGGTGCAGCTCAACGCTACCAACCAGTCCATGGAAGAACAGAAGAAGCGCCTCGAGCGGGCCCAGGAGGACCAGCAGCGCGAGGAGCAGGACGCCAAGTCAGTCTGGGCCGACACTGCCCCCGATGAAGGACCTGGCTCGCTCGCGGAGTTCACCGAGACCTCCAAGGCCAAGATCGCCGAGGCCAAGACCAAGTTTGCAGGCAATGCAGAAATCCTCAGATTTATCAACGACATGTCCAGCATGGTGGGGGCCTTGCCTGAGAAGGCAACACCACCGCCCCCGCCATCTCCATCGATTGCGGACACCCCGATGTTCGATTCAGAATTCTTCAAAGCCGAGATGGAATCCCTTGCCAAGCACCTGCCCAAGAAGGAGCTCGAAGCCCTGCAGAAGGCCCGTGCGACGTACCAGGACCAGCAGGCCGCGGCCGCGCGCCAGCTGGGCGGCCCGTCGAGCAAGGGACCTGGCAGCGGACGCGGCCACCGCCCGTATGGGTGACGGTTCCACTCCGAGTTCGAGGACAGCATCAACTGAGCGCTGTGCAACGGCGACATGCGGTGCTTCCCCGACTGAAGCTGACTGCCAGCCAGCTTCGCCTGCGGCCAAACCAGCATCAGCCAGTGCTGGGAAGGCCTCCCCCACTTCCCTCCACTCATCTACTCCTGACAGCACCCGTTTCGAGTCTTTTAGTGGGTCTTCTTGGGGCTCCCTCAAGAAGCGCCCCCTTGAGCTTGCGTGGGGACCCACCAAAGTTTTGTTTGCTCAGGAGGTGCACCTCGTCTCCGATTTAAGCATAGCTGAGGCCTCAGATTGGGCCATAAGGCACGGCTGGAAGAGTTTTTGGGCCCCGTCGGTTGCCACTACCTCTTTTGCCCCCTCAACGAACGGTTTAGGGGAGGTAGGTTCGTCAGCTGGGGTCGCTATCTTCGTTGCCGACGATCTTGGGTGTTACACTCTGGAGGAACCCGTGGGGCCCCCTGGAGGAATTTTGGTGCCACACCGAGTCCTTGGAGTTGTTGTGGAGTTCCCCCAGACCTCGGGCATCCTCTGTCTATCTTTGCATGGGCACGTGAGTCAAGGCTTCTCGCCAGACAATGTCGCCATCCTCGAGGCTATCGCCGATTTGGTCAAGGTCTCGGGGCTGCAGTACATCATAGCAGGAGACTTCAATCTTACTCAGGACCAGCTTGAGCATTCGGAGCTCTGCAATTATATCAAGGGTCAGCTCTTCGCACCGGCGTGCTCGATGGGCACATGCACAGCCAGTTGTTCAGTCATAGATATGTTCATCGTCGAGCAGCAGCTAGCGAACGCTGTGCGAGCCATAGATGTCGATTTCGACTGGGATGCTAGGCCACATTTCCCAGTTGTGCTGGATCTGCCACCAGAATTTGGAGAGGTCAAGGTCCTTCAATTCCCTACCATCCCTGCCCTCCCCTCCTCATTCGACAAGGATGAAGAGGATGAGGATATTGTGCATCCCAGCACCGTTTCTTGGAATAAAGTTTCAGATCACGTAGGTAGTCTTATCTCTGCTATAGGTAACCATTCCAAGGCAGTGTTGCGCGAAGGCTACGCCTCGGCCTACGCGCACTGGGCCAACGCCGCCGAGCTCGAGCTAGCGCAGCGGACGGCCAGCAAGGTTCGCAAGTCAGGCTTGAGAGCAAGAGCCCCCCAGCCAGTACTCCGAGCAGTCACCAAGAACGAGAAAGCTCACAAGCAGTACGGCCTCCTTCCCACTGCGCCGAGCTGGATTGCCACTCGCATGCACCGCCTCGCCAGTTACTTGGAGGAGGAGGAGGAATGGACAGTGGGGAAGGTGATTGGCAGAGAGTCTAGGCCGGCAGTATTCGATCTAATTTCCCGCGTAGTGCGCGCCACGCCGCAGCATGTGATGCAGCACGAGAGCACGCGCATACTCCTCACAGATATCCAGCAGTATCTCAAGCCCGTGCACGCAGATGTCGAGGCCGAAGCTTTTTGTTGCGGCAAGCTAGCCGCCACCGTCGCGCAGTTGTTTACTTTCAAGGCCAGGGCTGACGCGCTCGCTAAGAAGGTCCTCTCAGATGCGCGGTCAGCCAACGCCAGCTCTTGGAAGGAGTGGGTTGACAAGGCCCTCGACAAGGGGGCCAAGGCCGCACACAAGTTCATTAAGGAGCGCACCAAATGGGAGCCCGACACGGTGGTCATCGAGGGTAAGCTCACGGCCTCCATACAGAGCACTCTGGACACCTACAAGGCCAAGTTTGGGAACTTTTGGGAGCCCGCCGTTGAGCCTCTCCACAGGGACAACGACCTCCATGAGCCCATTGGGATCCCCTCTGTGGACGCCCTCAGGGACCTCTCTAAGAGTTACTCTAAGTCGTCAGCCGTTTCCCTCGACGGGTTCCACATGAGGCACCTCAGTACGTTATCCGATGAGGCCCTCGAGGCCTTCGCCAGACTCATCTACATTTCTGAGGTTCTTGGGGGACTTCCAGGACAGCTCCAGTGGGTCCTCGTGGCGCTCCTCCGCAAAGTCACTGGCGGCTACAGGCCCATTGGTATCTCCCCCATGATGTACAGACTCACTGGCAAGCTGCGCTTGCCCTTCGCGCAGGACTGGATCGCTAAGCACGACTACTCCTGGTTTGCCTGTGGCGCAGGTAGATCACCAGTCGACGTGGTATGGCGGCAGAGTCTCAGAGTTGAAGGGGCCGTCTCGGGCGGAGGGGCCTCTGCTGGTGTTCTCTGGGATATGGAAGCCTTCTTCGAACGCTTCAAGCGCGACAAATTGCGGGCTCGAGCGCTCGCTTTAGGTTTTCCTGAGACTCTGCTCGCCCATCACCTTGCAGGTTACGGCTCGTGGAGACACATAACGTGGAAGCGCTGTGTGGCTCTGCCCATCGCAGCCACCAACGGCATAGTGGCGGGCTGTTCTTTCTGCATCCTCTATGTCAGGATCTATTGCTTTGATGTCTTCTTGCGAATAACATCGCTGCACTCGGCCGTCTATTTCGATTTCTATTTGGACGACCTGTCCATCACCTGTCACGGCACCACGGTCAGAGTGCTCAAGCGTATAGTCAGTGCCGCCAAGGAGCTAGCCCGTCTCATCGAGAAAGACTTAGAGGCCAGGATAGCTGTTCATAAAGGAGCTGTCGTCGCGTCGTCGGTGTCGTTAGCCAGGCTTCTCACGTCTGCTCTCGGGGCCACAGGGGGCAAGCTCCAAGCGGTCGCCACTAACTTAGGTTGCGATTTTACGGCTGGTAAATCCTTCGGTTGTAACGGCGCTGCCGCCAAGCGCAAGGTCAGGCTCAGAACCGCTACGGTCAGAGGGCAACGCCTGCGTAAGCTCACCGCTACCGCTGGACAGAAATGTCGCAAGATTGTCACTACTGGCCTCCTCCCTGCCGGTGCTTTCGGGGCCGCCGCCGACGGTCTCAGTAACAAGTCTTTGTATCTGCTGCAGTCTCTGGAGATTGCGCAAATCACGCCCTGCTCCTCCAAGAAATCCAGGAGTGCGGCCTTCGCCGTCACGGGGTCCAGGGCCGACCGTTGGGCCTTAGGGCCCGTTCTCAGGTGGGCCCATGAAGTGTGGCACACCACCCTCGGCAAATACGCGACCCCAGGGGCCCTCGGCCTTCTTGAACTCAAGCAGATATATAACAACGTGCAGCCAATAGGACACTTGTGTTATAACGCCGTGCGAGGACCACTCAGTGCGGCAGCCCACGCACTTCACCGAATCGGCTGGAGTTTCACTTCCGCTTTCACGCTGCAGGACCACTTCGGCAGGACGGTCAGGCTCACTGACACCTCGCCGAGCCTGCTTGCCGACCTGCTGCACCGAGGATGTCAGAGGAGGTGGGAAACGCTAGCTGCTAAGAGCATACCCAGCCCTGCCCCCATGAAGAGAGTTTGTTTTGATGTTGTTCGTACTTTGCTTTCCCCCAAAAGCAAGAAACTCTCCCCCAGGTTTAAGGCCATTCTCCAAACTCTCGTGGTCCAGGGATGGTGGACTGAAGAAAAACTCGCTCAGCTAGGCTACGACGTGCCTAATGAGTGCCCGCTTTGTAAAGCCTTCGGGGACACCATACACCACCGTCTCTTTACTTGTCAGCATCCAGAGGTAGTTGCCCTCAGGACAGAGCTGCTGCCACCAGACGTGCTGCAGGCTGCGCTGGAGGCGCCAGAGAATAGCCCCCTGTACTGCTTCGGTATCTTCGAGCACCCAGGGGAACAGCATGATGATTTTCCGCTGCCTAGAGAGGATCCCATCGTTCGATTCGTTAGACACGACGGTCAGCCAGACACGGTACCAGACTTTGGGGGGCTCACGGGAACCGACGGGTCGTGCACCAAGACAGGCATAGCGGAGTTAGACAGAGCGACGTTTTCGGTAGTGGCTTACAGTACCGACGGGGCCCCAGAGGCCTCCTTCTATGGCGCTGTTGCTGCAAACCTTCCCCAGACTTCCCAGGCTGGGGAGCACATGGGCTTCCTGGTGCTCCAGGAGGCCCTCACGAAACCCTCGAAGACTTGGGTGGACTGCAAAGCGGTCCTAGATCAGCATGCTAGGCCACTGCCGACGCGTCTCAGTAGTAAGCTCAAGTATTCAGGCCTGCACAAGCTTGCGCTTGCGCGGGATAGCAGATATCACCTCGAGACGGCCTCTAAGGTCAAGAGCCATCAGGATATAGAATCATTGGCTGGAGAGGCCAGACTTGCTGCGGAGATCAATGCAGCAGCAGATAAGACGGCGAAAGCGGCCGTTGACTGTCACCCCAGCTTTGACCCGACTGCGGTGCAGGATTTGCAACGCAAGATCGAGGCCGCTCGAGCGATAGCCATATATGCGCCCAGAGTTCTCGCTTTGTGCCAGCGCAACAGGCACAAGAGCGAGAGAGCCGCTTTGCCCTGTAAGGTTCAGGCCTCCATCGTCGTCCACGACTGGGAGGTTCTGCAGGGGCCGATACCGTACAGGTGCAGAGCATGTTTTACGCACGCCCGATCGTATAAGGCCGCAGTCGCGCGCGAGCGGCAGGCCTGCCAACCTCTTGCCAGCGCATACCGACGTGGCCTAGAAGCCATTCACGCCAGCCATCAGATGGCGATTGCGCACTTTGCCACGCCTGTTGTGTTCTGCTTAGTCTGTGGGCGTTATGCCCAGTACGCGTTCAGAGGTTTGCCCGCCACATGTCCTGGAAGGCCTCCCAAAAGTGGTGGACGCGCGAATGTGAGAAATCGTCTGTTGGTTGGCAAGCATCCAAGATATCGTCTTTTTGCTTCAGAGTCCGAGCAGTACAATACCGCAGAAATTCAAAGGCAGCAGCGCGCGCAGAGAGAGAAAGCAGCAGCGCGCTTTGCTATGCCGCTCCCGAGCCCGCCAGCCCACACCCTGTGCCTCGCCCACAGCGGCCCGAGGCCAGACTGTTGCGCCAGCTGCAATCCAGCCTGCGCCAAGAGGAGGATGAGGAACCGCTCATCCCTCCAGTGGGTTTCGGCGAGGACGATTCGGACTAGGCCCCCGTCCAAGCCCCCACCGCCATCTCGGAGGTGCTGCGGGCTTGTGAGGGGCCACTCGCCTGGCGATCTCTGCCCTGGGTCCCCGCCTCCTCGGCGCGCCCAGGCACCGTCAGGCCACCCCACCTGGAGGGTGGTCGGCCAGAGCCGCGTGCGAATGGCCCGAGGAGGGGAAAAAAAAACGAAAATCCAGCACATGCGCTGGCTGATCATTGACGAGGTGGAAAACGTGTCGGTGGAGCTGCTGTACGCCGTGCACAGGCAGGTGAAGGGCTCGACGAGGGACAAGGAAAACCCCTGGGCCGTGGACGCGCGCGTCCCCAAACAGTTCGCCATGTTTGGAGGGCTCAACCTGGTGCTGCTCGGGGACCTGTGGCAGATCCCACCCGTCAGGAGTCTCAGTATTGCCGCCGATCCATTCGTCAAGCGGCCCGCCAACGTTGGCCGCATACTGGAGATGTTCTGGACCGAGGGCATGCCGCACTCGGCAACTCACCGCTACGCACTGAGCCAGTCGCACCGCTGCTCAGACCCGTGGTGGAGGAGCTTCCTCGCAGAAGCGCGCGCGGGGGATCTGTCGGACAGGATGTACGATTTCGTTCACGGGTTCCCCACTGATGTGCCCGGCTCCTGGATGCCCGCAAGCCCCGGCAGCGCCGAGGCCCGGGCGGGGCGCCTCGGCTGCGGGAAGGCGAAGTGCCGCGCGCTCTGGTCAGTTGAGTGGCCACGGATGTTCGGAGAGGGTCGGCCTCGGGGCGACATGCGAGCTCTGGAGTGCGCAGATTGCAGCGCGAAGCGCCGTCGGCGCTGCCGCGTCGCCTCTCAGAGCGATGCCAGACAGCGGGAGGTGACCACGGCGTTCGCGGACGCGCTGTTCGTGCGCCCGCACAACGCCCCGAAGTGCAGGATTTTGACACTGCGAGCGGCGAATGCGGCAGCCAATGCTGGGAAGCAGCTCCTCTGGGCGGCGGCGCGCGACGACGCACGCAGGTCGAAGGGGTCGCGAACGCCAGGCAGAACTGGCTCATGCACCCAGAGAACAAGACTGGCGGAGTTCCTGGTGCGCTTCCGATCTTCCATGGGATGCGCGCTCGCTTCACCACGACGGAGAACGCGGAGGCGGGAGCTTGCAAGCACTCCTGGGGGACCGTGACGGGCTGGGTCCTCCACCCCGACGACGCGAAGTTGGTGAGCGAGCACAGGTCCGAGCCAGAGCTGGTGCTGCAGCACGTGCCCGACGCGATCACGGTGAAAATCTTTGGGAGCACGGCGCGCCCTTTTGGCAATCAGCCGGCGGGTGTCTTCCCCGTGAAACAGAAGGAGGTGTCATGGGATCGCAGCCCCGGTTTCAAGGCCATGGCGAAGCGCGCGGGATTCCCGCTTGTCCCGCACTTCGCCGCCACGGCCCACTGCGTCACCGGCGCCGCGCTGCCGCAGGCCATCATCGACCTCCTGGACGCGCGCACGACGCCCCGTGCGTCCATGGTGCCCACGGGCTACGTGGCCATCAGCCGCACTGGGCGGGCTGACGACCTGATCATCACCCAGCCTTTTTCCCCCATGCTGTTCCGCCAGGGGCATCAGACGGGCACGCGGCTCCTGCACCCCCTCGCAGCAGGGGAGATGGCGACGGAGCAGACGCGAGCAGGCTGGGCCAAGGCAGAGAAGGAAGCCGCGTCCAGGTCGTCGAAGAAGTTGGTGGACGCCACGTTCCAGTGCGCCGACTGCCACCAGCGAAAAAGTCCGGGCAACTTCCCGGGGAGTGGCACGAGGGCGAGCGACCCCGTGGAGCACGCCGTGGCGGTGCTGAGCCAGGGCGCGTGGAGGAGGTGCGCCCTCTGCGCGCAGAAGAAGGCCGGAAAGGACGTGCAGAGGCCAGCCCCTCTGCCCAGCGAGCGCCGTTGCTTTGAATGCGGCAAAGCCAGGCGCGTCTCGGAGTACGACAAGAAGATGTTGGAGCAGTTGCGCTCAAATGACGCCCTCGAGAGAGCGGCAGGCCTGGCGTGTCGCCCCGCGCAACTGCACCGGCCGCCGTCGAAGATAGGCGCGCTGTACACGTGCTACCAGTGCGGGGGCCCGAAGGGCATGGAGCACTTTGACCTGGGCCGGCTGAATATGCATGGGGGGTCCGAGTGCGTCGCGCGCAAGGAGTGCTTCGACCTGCGCATGCGTCCTCCTTGCGGGAAGTGCGGGGCGAGGCCAGAGAGGAATCTGCATTGCAGTCAGAGTAATTACCAGTGTGAGGCCTGTACATTCCCGAACTGCGACGTCTGCAAGGTAGCCCCGCGGCCGCGAAGCACGAAGTACCTGGCGGCGAACAGGCCGTCGTGGACGTGCCCGGCGTGCCCGCGGGTCGGTCAGTGCGCGGTCTGTGGCGCCCCGTCACCAGACGCGGCCAAAACTGGTCGGCGTTCTGTGAACTGGGAAGGGCCGAGGTACACGTGCGACGCGTGCCTCTGGCCGCCATGCAGCGCGTGCAAGAAAACGCCGCGGCCGCACGACCGCTGGTGGACAGTTCGCGCTGCCCCGGACTGGAAGTGCGCAGATTGCGCGAAGACGCGCGAGCGAGGGAAGAGGTGCGCGCAGTCTAAAGATATCGCTCCACCTGCCACCTGCCGCTATCATCAGGGACGTCGTCGTCATCGTGTCAAATTGCGGGAAGAGGCCCGCCTGCGCCCCCGTCGCATGTGTCATCCTCTCGGTGGCAATTTTGGAGGCAGTTTGGGCCGCCATGCCTCCCTCTTGGGGACTTCTTGAGGCCCCTTGGGGGCCTATTTGGGGCATCTTGGGGCCTCTTGGGGGCGTCCTGGCCCGTCTTGGGGCGCTCTTCCGCCGTTTCGCCCCTTCGGAGACCGTCTTGGGGGCCTCCCGCGGCCGCCTTGGGGCATTCTTGGGATCTTTTTTGGCCGTCCTAGGGGCCTCTTGGACCGTCTTGGGGGTTTCTTTGGGCCGTATTGGGGCCCTCTCGGGCCGTCTTGGGGCCCTTTGGAGGGCTTCTTGGGGCTTCTTGGGGTGCTTTTGGAGGGTGCTTGGGCCGTCATTTGCTTGTCAGCGTCGAGAAAGGCGAGAACGCGAAAATAATCCCAAAACCATATGAAAATCTATGATTTTGGCTTCTGGAGGCGCTCTTGGGGGGTCCTCTTTGGACCCTCTTGCGGCGTCTTGTGAGCTTTTGGGCTCTCTTGGGGCCATCTTGGGTCGTCTTGAGGCCGTTTTGAGAGTCTCTTCGGCCGCCTTGATGCCATCTTGAGCCGTCTTGACGCCCCTTGTGGGCTCCGAGGAGGGCCCAGAGGCCGAAATCAATGATTTCCATAGGTTTTTGTAGGTTGTTGAATTAGTGCACGAAGGGGTCGGCGACTCGGCGGCGGCCCTGGGGGGGGATTAAGGGGGGAGACATAATAATGCAACACAATACAAAATGTGGCTATGCAATCATTGGAAACATTGGATACGTTGCATTAGGGCTCCCGCTCCGCTGCGCGACCTGCCTCCGGCAACACGTCACTTCCGGACGTGGATTCATTGGCTTACGCCGCACCGCCGACCCCTTGGGGCGCCAGCAGTCGTCCCCCGCGTGGCCTGTCCGGACAGCCTGTGAGGCCCCTCGAGACACGTTTTGGAGCCTTCTTAGGACCGTCCTGCCGTTCCCCCGGGCCGTTGCTATGGTTTCTGGGGCTTTCGTGGGGTGCCAGAGGTCGATATTGTAGGTTTACTGGGCCGTTGTGGGCCTCGTGGAAGCCCAAGAAGCGAATATGGTGAAAAAGCACGTTTTCCCAAGGGAATGGGACGGTTTCTGCTTTTGGAGGCCTGCTTGGAGCGCCTCGGGGTCACGTGTGCAAACGTCTTGGACGCCCATGGGGCTGTCTGGAGCAATCGTGGGCGGTGTGGACCGAATTGTCCCCCGCGTGGGCCGTTCGGACAGCCTTTGGAAGCTCTCTTGGCCCGTTTTGGAACCCTCTTGGGACCGTCCTGCGGCTTTCCTGGGCCGTTGCTATGGTTTTTGGGGCCTTCGTGGATCGCCCCGAAGCCGTGTTGGGGCCTTCTTGGGAGCCTCTTCAGGTGACAGGGGTCGATCTTGGAGGTTGATTGGGCCGTTGTGGGCTTCGTGAGAGCCCAAGAAGCGAATGTGGTGAAGATGTACGTTTTACCTACGGGATGGGACGGTGTTTGCTTGTGGAGGCCTTTTTGGAGTGCCTCGTGGTCGCGTTTTCAAACGTCTTGGACACCCATGGGGCCGTCTGGCGGCGATCTTGGGCGGTTTGGACCGAATCGTCCCCCGCGCGGGCCGTTCGGACAGCCTTTGGGGGCTTTCTTGCCCCGGTTCGGAGCCCTCTTGGGACCGTCCCATGGCTTTCCTAAGCCGTTGCTGTGGTTTCTGGGGCATTCGTGGATCGCCCGGACGCCGTCTTGGAGCCTTTTTGGGAGCATTTTGGGCTGGCGGGGGTCGATCTTGGAGGTTTCTTGGGCCGTTTTGCGCCGCGTGGAAGCCGAATGGGCGAATGTGGTGAAAATGCACGTTTTCCCTAGGGAATGGGATGATTTTTGCTTCTGGAGGGCCTCTTTGGGGCGCCTCGCAATATTGTTTCAAACGTCTTGGTGACTTATGGAGCGGTGTGGAGGCAATCTTCGGCGTTTTGGGGCGATGTCTCGTCGATTCATAGCTCTCCTGGACCGTTCTGGGAACCTTTGGAACCATTTTGGCTAGTTTTGGGGCCTCCTGAGGCTCCAAGTGTGCGAATGATGGATTTGCCCCCCCCCCCCCCCCTCCAAACCGGTCGGACCAGGCCCCCGGGGGAAGGGTTTGGGGAGGGGGAAGCATCTCACACGCCGTGACCCCAAGGGGTCGGCGGATTATGCAGCCTTTTCTTCCTCTAGAGAAGGCGGGGGGGAGCTCTGGCGAAGGCGGGCGGCTTCGGAGAGACCCTCCTGGCTTCAGAGCCTTGTTGGAAGGCTCCAGGCCCTCATGAGAAGACCCCTGCCTGATAGAAAGCCTCCCGCCTTGTCAGAAGACCGCGCGCCAAAGGGAGGCGTGGGGAGGGAGGTTGAGCGCCTGCCCAAGAGGTCCGCGTGGACCTCCGAAAGCTTGCTGTCGTGCCGTGTTGTTGGCCCTTTTGCACTCGTGTGGGGTTGTTCAGGTATTGTTCCCAAGATCCGTTGGGCTACTGAATAAGAGTTGCTGTTTCTCTTTGATTTGTTCTCCTCCTCCTCCTCCTCCTCCTCTCCTCCTCCTCCTCCTCCTCCTCCTCCTCCTCCTCCTCCTCCTCCTCCTCCCCCTGCCCTGGTACCAGGTTCAGCACGCTCGTGGTTCCACCCATGCATCCCTGTTCCACCATGCTGCCAGCACGCCTCCGACATGCACAGTTTCTGTCTGTCAATATGTCTGTCGGTCGGTCGGTCTGTCTGTCCGAAGGTACAAGTTCGTGGGGTACGCCTACTCGGGAAGCGATACGCCGCTCGTGCTGGACTCCAGCTCGCCACTTTACGCGGCGCTGGCACAGGTGCAGCTGAGCGTGGTGCTCGGCAGCACCATCAGCTGCCACGCCGCGGAGTGCGGCATGCACACCGTCAGCGTGGTGCAGGTCTTGGTATCTTTTAACCAATCCCCATCCCCGTCCCCATCCCCTTCGAGACCCCCACCGAATTACCACCCCAGTTGGCGATACACCCCTCGAAACCCGAAGGGAGCGACCTATATCCCCATCTAGGGGGGTAAAATCGGCCAGTGGGGCCCAGGCCACGCCGCTGGGGATGGGGATCGGTTAAACGATACTCAAGGTCGGGGGAGGTTACTACCAGTACGTCCCGCCGACCTGCGTGCACCTCTACTTCTTCAACGGCCAGATGACCGCCCCTGCCGGACACGTCACCAACTCTGCGTGGCACCAGTGCAAGGACCCGAGCCAGAGCGTGGGCGGCGTGGCGTGCTGTAAGGGCTGCACCGACGACCCGAACCCCTGGCTTACAAACCAGGGGGCAACCTGTGCGGACTTGCCCACACTGAATCCAGGACTGATACAGAACGGTTGCCATTCGCAGTCTTGGTGGGTGACTGCGAACTTCTGTCAACTGACCTGTTGGGAAAACGGCGCCGGCTACATTGGCGACAACTGCTCGGACGGGCTGTACCAGTCGGCGAGCGCCTGCGGGTACTACCAGGAGAAGGTCCCGCTCCAGATTGCCAGCGCGAGGTGCGAAAGCTTGGGCATGCACGTGTGCGACAGCGACACGACCAGCAGCGAGTGCGGCCACGACGACGTGCACTTTCACGTGTGAACTCCGCACAGCTGCACCGTCGACGTGGAGGTGCGGGCAGACGGCACGGTGGCCCTCCAGTGGGACTCCAAGACGATGCAGAACCCGATCCGCGTGGCATGGGCCGACGGGTTCCCGACTCCGGGCAGCTGCCCCAGCGAGTGCACGGGCAGCAGTTCTGGGTGCGTCTGCCCCGCCACCGTGGAGTCCCGGGCCGTCTTCTCTGAGGTCCCGAGCAGGGCCGAGCTCCTCGGGGAGGCGTCCCGCCTGCGCATCGGCGCGTTCGCGCCTTCGGCGGCCACCGCCTGCCTGGCCCCCTGCGACGGCGATGTGAAGGCGCACGTGCCTCCCGGGAGCGGGAACGTGGACGAGGACACGGTGTTCGAGTGCGACGGGGCCTACTACAAGAACATGGAGAGCGTCGTGGGAGTGGCGGGGCACAGCTTCCGCAACCCGCCCGTGTTCGCGATCGCCAAGGAGATGACTGGCCGCTGGGTGACAGACGAAGAAGCTCTAGCTGAAGTGGAGGCCCTGCTGGACCACCTCTTCCGCCACCCCAACGTGGCGCCCTTCGTGTCGTACCGGCTGATCCAGCGCATGGTCACGTCCAATCCGTCACCGGCCTACGTTTCCGCTGTCGCTCAAGCCTTCAGCACCGGCGAGTACAATGGCGAGACGTATTCTGCCCAGTACGGAGACTTGGGAGCAACCTTCGCGGCTATCTTGTTGCACCCTGAGGCTAGAGGAGAGGATTCGATTGGTTCTGTGGGCAAACTGCGTGAGCCCCTGGTGAAGCTATTGCACTTCCTGCGCTCCATGGAATACATGGATCTTAAAGGGCGCCAGGTCTTGATGAACAGCCTGGAGGACGACATTGGCCAGTGGCCCTACGCGGCGCCCTCTGTTTTCAATTATTACGACGTGGAGTATGCCCCACCAGGCCTGTCCGACGGCCTTGTTGCGCCCGAGTTCGAGATCTTCACGCCGCCGCTTGCCCTCACCTGGCTCAACGGCATGCTATCTTTGGTCAACACTGGCGGACTCAGCCGGTGCGAGGGTGGCATCGGTCAGACGACACGCGCCTGCACTGTTGTTGAAGGGGAGCTGAACTTCTCCGTGTCCGGCACCAGCAGCGACACCTTTGCGGAGATATCCTTGCTACTAACGGGGGGGCGCATCAATAATACGGGTGCCTTCGACGCAGCACTCGGTGCTTCTGGGGGTGAAGACCACATGAAGGCTGCTATGCGCACTATTATCATGTCGCCCGAGTTCCACACCTTGGGCGACCCCGAGATGGCTGGCCAGCGACCCGCGACGGTGGAGAAGACGCCACATCAGTCGCGGTCTTACAAGGCCATGGTTCTGCTTTATCTCAACGGGGGTGCTGACACCTTCAACTTGCTGGTGCCCACCTGCGCAAGCCTCTGGGAGGAGTACACAACCGTCCGGCAGAACCTCGCGCTGGGCCAGGGTCAGCTGCTGGGGATCTCGGCCAACACCCAATCTTGCAACACTTTCGGCGTCCACCACGGCCTCCCCTTCGTGCGCGACCTGTACGCACAGGGCCAGCTGGCCTTCGTGAGCAACATCGGCGGCCTGGTGCAGCCCACCACGAAGGATGGGTACATGGGGACCACCCCCCAGTGTGCTGGGCTGTTTTCGCACCTCGACCAGCAGATCGGCGGTATGACGCTGCAGTGCCAGGTCCAGGGGCCCAAGCAAGCTATGAGTATTGGCGTCTGGTGCCGGCTCGGGTCCGATGGTGGTCCAAGGTAGCCGAAAGTCTTCAAAACAGGACGTCCGACCCCAGGATGTTAGCCGGGAGGTGTTTGACAGGCTTGGCGAGATGTCGATCGATGTGCGCCGTGTTTAAAAAGTTTGGGCCGGCACTTCGATGAAGCGCACCGACCGAAAGAATACAAGAAAGATTTCCCTGGAAACGAGCGGATAAATCTAAAGAACTACCCGAGACGCACCAAATCCTTATTCCACGTGAGGCCAAGATTTGTGAAGGTTCCATACAAAAAAAACACTCCGCCAGATATGCGCGATCAGCGCTGCCCTAATCTCCGCAGTGCCTCCCAGGAGCCCACGAATGTTGCAAAAGTTGCGCAGTGCGTAGCCTCCCTGGGAGCAGCGAGGTGTCGGCTGAGTCCGCGTACTTCCCGACCCCGCCGTGCCTCCAAGGAGCCCACGAAAGTGGCGACGGTTGCGCAGTGCGTAGCCTCCCTGGGAGCAGCGAGGTGTCGGCTGAGTCCGCGTACTCCCCGACCCCGCCGTGCTTCCCAGGAGCCCACGAAAGTGGCGATTGTTGCGCAGTTCGCAGTCTTCCAGGGAGTTGCGAGGTCTCGGCTGGGCCCGCGTACTCCCCGACCCCGCCGTGCTTCCCAGGAGCCCACGAAAGTGGCGATTGTTGCGCAGTTCGCAGTCTTCCAGGGAGTTGCGAGGTCTCGGCTGGGCCCGCGTACTCCCCGACCCCGCCGTGCTTCCCAGGAGCCCACGAAAGTGGCGATTGTTGCGCAGTTCGCAGTCTTCCAGGGAGTTGCGAGGTCTCGGCTGGGCCCGCGTACTCCCCGACCCCGCCGTGCCTCCCAGGAGCCCACGACCGCGACGACAGGCGCGCAGTTCGCAGCCACCCGGGGAGCTGCGCGCTCCCGGCTGGGTCCAGTTGGGTCCGCGTACTCCCCTACTCCGCCACGTCTCCCAGGAGCCCACGACCGCGATGACAGCTGCGCAGTTCGCAGCCACCCAGGGAGCTGGTCCTGGCTGGGTCCGCGTAATCCCCGACCCCGCCGTGCCTCCCAGGAGCCCACGCAAGTGGCGACGGCGGCGCAGTTCGCAGTCTCCCAGGGAGGTGCGAGATCTCGGCTGGGCCCGCGTACTCCCCTACTCCGGAGAGGGGGAGGGGGGTCCCCCTGGTTCTGATCGACGGCGCCGAGTGTTGGGGGGCGCCACCCCCTGGTTCGAAACGCGCCGCCGAATGATCCCAAGGCAAGCGCCCATGAAGCGCGTGCGCTCTCTCTCTCTCTCTCTCACTCTCTCTCTCTCTCTCTCTCTCTCTCTCACACATGTGCATAGACATGATGGGGGAAAACACACAGACACAACTGATCGTCGACCCCCAGGAAACGTGGGAAAATATTGCAAATGGGAGGGAAGAAGAACACCCAAAAAATATTGGAATCCTGATATCTGTGTATTTTTTGTGTGTCCCTGGACCCCGTTGATGTTGTACTAATAATTATGTCCTTCTGCGTCCCATTCCCCTCGGCAGGTGCAAGGGGCGTCCCCCAGGGGCTTCGGTGGGCGCCTGGCCGACGCCGCGGCCGCCGAGGGTCACCGCACCACCTCGTTCTCCCTCGCGGGCGCGAACACGTGGTCGACGGGGCGGAGCGTCGGGGTGGAGATCATCGACGGGAGAAACGGCGCCGTGCGTCTGCAGGGGTCGCTCGAGGGAGCAAAACATCTGGCACCGAGAGAGCAGCGCCCTCCTCGGAGCCGTCTGGGGGTCTGAGGGTGGCCCAGCACTGGTTCTGGCCAGCAGGAAGGGCGGGCAGGTTCGAGGGTTTTTTTGTCTTGTTCGCCCTCCAGGGGCAGTTTTCGGATACGGGGTGGAAAACTGCACTGGATGGACCCCGGGAGGGGTCCAGGGACCGATTCTGAGCGAATTTGGCCTCATCCTCCCCTCCTGACTGATTCTCTGGGCTCCCAACCAGTTCAGACCCTGGCGACGCCCACCCAGGCAGATCATGAACGAAAGCGTAGGCTTGCAAGCATAAGGGTCGAGACATACCCATCTGCAAAAACAGGCACGTTTGGAGCGCCGTGCAGATGTCTTGGATCCGCCCTGCGCGCCCGCTCGGAGTGAGGTGCTGCGCGCACCCGTGGAGCGCGCCCGCAGCTTTCCCTGATGGGCGTTCTGCCCTCAACAACAAACGCATGCGACATATTTTTGGGGAGGGGAAGAAACACACAGACACAATCAGTCGTCGATCTCCTTGAAAATGTAGGAAAATATGGGAAGTGGGGGGGAGACAAGAACCCAGAAAATACTGGAAAATATCTGGAATCCTGTTATTCGTGTCTATTTATTTGTGTGTCCCAGGGCCCCATTCAACTTTGCCAGAGGTCCGCGCGGATCTCTTGGGTCAGCACTGGCCTTCCCTCCCCCCCACCACCCCTTCCGCAGAGCGCGGAGTGCTCCAGTGGCGGCGCCCGAGGCCGCCCAGGGGTGTGGGGAGGGGGGCCCAGCGCCGACCAAAGAAATTCGCGCGGACCTGCGATGCAGTCGGGGCGCGCATCAAGAAACCATATGCTTTTCGTCAGGATGTCCTGGGTTTCTTCGCTCCTCGCGCTGCGCGGTGACTTACCGCAGCCGTTGAAGGAGCTGCTGCGTTCAGGGTGCTCCAGGTTTCCCCTCAGGTGCACCTCGCGCACGGGTTCTCAGGGTTGGGTTTCTTGCGAGGTTTTTTGCGGCCGCGCCCGCACTGCATGTGTTTGATACGTCTGCAGCGTCTCGATTCTCCAGGTACCAGGACTTGCAGGCGATCGTGGGGAACACTACCAGCCTCACGTATGGCAACGTCTACTGCGAGGAGTACGCGCAGCAGTTCGCCGGCGCCATAGAGTCCAGCGAGAAGCTGGGGACGCTCCTCGACTCGGCAACGCTCACGACCACGTACGGTACGAGCAACTCGCTGGCCAGGCAATTGCATCAGGTCGCCCGGCTCATTTCGACGAGGGCAGCGCGCGGTGCCGAGCGGGATTTCTTCTTCGCAGAATTGGGTGGGTTCGACACGCACAATGCCTTGGAGGAGGTTCTCGAGACTAAGTTTGCCGAGATCAACGCTGCCCTGGAGGATTTCGTGGCCGAGCTGAAGGGCCAGAGCATCTTCGACTCGGTGGTGTTGGTGACCAGCTCCGACTTCGGGCGCACGCTGACCTCGAATGGCCGGGGTAGCGACCACGGCTGGGCGGGTAACCACCTCGTGCTGGGCGGCAGCGTCAATGGCGGCCGCATCTTCAATCGGTTCCCCGAGTCTCTACTGGATGGCAACAGCCAGGACGCGGGGCGCGGGAGGATGATCCCACAGTACCCGTGGGAGAACGTGATGGTGCCTATTGCGCAGTGGATGTGCGGGCAGTCGTCCTCGCGGGCCAGCGCGGCCTGGCTGCACTCCGTCTTCCCTAACCTCGCCAACTTCAACGCCTCCGAGCACATCATCCACGCCGAGGCTCTCTTCGCAGGCTTCGAGCTCGCCACGCCGAGCCCCACGCCGTCGGGCCCCACCGCGAGCCCCACGCCGAGCCCCTCGCCGCCCCCCTCGCCGAGCCCCACGCCCGGCCCCACGGCGAGCCCCTCGCCGAGCCCGACCGCCGACCCCACGGCCCTGCGGGAGGGCCCCCAAAGCCGCTGCGAAGGGCTCGGCCCCCGCGGGGCCCTCCGGCGCCTCCGGGGGGGGTCCCCGCGGGGGGGCGGAGAGAGATGGCGCGGGGGAGTCCCGCGGGGGGGCGGAGAGACGGCCCGACGGCGGCCCCGGACAGGCTCTCTCTCTCTCTCTCTCTCTCTCTCCGGGTGCCCCGCGGGAGGCCCCGGGAGGGTTCCGCCGGACGCCCGCACCTGCAGGCCCGTGTGCGGGGTCGGCCGTGGGCCTCGGGAGCACGTCAGCGGGTCCGCCCTTTTCCAGTGCTGGCAGCGTCCGCGGCGGCGTGAGAGGCCATCAGGACAGCCCCGCCATCGTTCTCGCTTCCATCTGCACCCTTCCCCTTCTCCGAGGGAGGAGAGGAGCACCCCCGACCTGATAGGTGGCGCTTTCTAAAAAAAGGGCCCTGGGCGTTTGCTAAACAGCCCTGCCCTGTTCGATTCCTTCTTTGGGCGCGCTTACTGAACTTCTTCGCGTGGCGGCGTGGTCACTATGGGGGTGGAGTTTTTCCCCTCCTAGAGATACTCATCTTCGCTCCCCGTGCTACTGACGCCTCCACCAGTGGGCCCCCCATGATGCAGTCGGGCGCGTCGGGCCTTGATCAGTGCCGTCGGTCCACTTCCGCCGTCGTGCCCGTGGTCGCGGACCAAAGGGCCTGTTACAGGCCCCGTGGGGTACGGTAGGTTCGTGTCGTGTCAACCGGCGGCGACCCCGCCAGCGGCGTTCAACGTTGAACGCCGCGGGTGACCCAGCATCGTTCGATGTGGAACGATTTGGACGCTTCGGAAACGGCCGATCGTTCCAAGGTTGAACGATCCCCGCGGTGTCAGAAGCCAACGCCGAAGTCGGCACGGCAAGAGCCTGACGCATCTTGCCACCGAGGGCCTGGAGGCCGACGCGAGGGCCATCTCTGGGCCCAGGGCCCAGGAGACCCCTTCAGGGCCCCACCGCTTAGCTGGGCCCCTCCGCCGGACCTCCCTGGAGCCCACGAGATTGGCGACGGCTTGGCACTTCGCAACCCCGAGGGGACGGCGAACTCTCATCCTGATCTGCGCCTTCGACACCCCTTCGCTGGACCTCCCAGGAGCCCACAACAATGCGGCGCCCGTTTCGCAGCTCGCAGCCCCCAGGGACGACGATGTCTTCATCCCGATGCAGATCTGACGACGATCCGCTGGCCTTCCCAGGAGTCCACGAAAGTGGCGACAGTTTCGTAGACCACAGCCCCGCGCGGACGGCGAGGTCTCATTCTGATTTGCGTCTGACGTCACTCGACACGACCACCCAGTGCCCCACGAAAGTGGCGACGGTCTCATGAATCGCAGCCCCCGAGGAGACGGTGAGGTCTCATACAGATATGCGTAAGACGTCACTGACCCCCAGGAGCCCACGAAAGTGACGACTGTTTTACAGGTCACAGCCCCCGAGGGGACGGCGAGGTATCATTCTGATCTGCGTGTGACGTCACTCCGCTGGACTCGCCAGGCGCCCTCGAAAGTGTCGACAGATTCGCTATTCGCAGACCCCAGGGACGGCGAGGTATCATTCCGATCTGCGTAAAACGTCACTCCATTGGACCTCCCAGCAGCCCACGAAAGTGGCGACGGTTTCTGCGTGTGACGTCACTCCGCTGGAAACTCCAGGAGCCCACGAACGTTGCGACGGTCTCACAGTTTGTAGCCCCCAAGGGGACGGCGAGGTCTCATTCTGATATGCGCAAGACGTCACTCCGCTGGACACCCCAGGAGTCCACGATCCGGCGACGGCTTCACAGTTCGCAACCCCCCAGGCAGCGCGAGCAGCAGGAATGAAATAACGACCCCCCAGGAGCCCATGGAAGTAGCGACGGTTTCACAGGTCGCAGCCCCCGAGGGGACGGCGAGGTCTCATTCTGATCTGCGTCTGACGTCACTCCACTGGACCTCCAGGAGTACACGAAAGTGGCGTCAGTTTCACAGTCCCACTGGACCTCTGGGCGCCCACGAAAAAGGACGACGGTTTCGTAGAGCGCAGCCCCCGCGGGGGAAGAAGCTAGGTTTCGTTAGAATCCGCACACGACGCCAGTCCACGGCGGAAACAGTGAAAAAACGGCCTTGCCGTTTCCGGAGGCCCTTTAAGCACTGGCCCCCTGGGAGCCCACGAACAAGGAGCCCCCCCCCCGGCGGCGCCTCCGGCGCTGCCCCTCAAACGCGCCCCGTGCGCCAGGGATGGGGGGGTCCAGCGCGGGTCCAAAAAATCCGCGCGGAGCGCCAGAAGTGTATGTTTACGCTGCTTCTTCTTCTTCTTCTTCGTTTTCTTTGTGTATTTTTCTTATTATTATTATTATTATTATTATTATTATTATTATTATTAGTATTATTATTAGTAGTATTATTATCATTATTATTCTCATTATTCTCATTTGTCTTTTTCTTCCTCTCAGGGAGGAGGAGCAGAGGAAAAGGAAGTGTGGAGACCATAGTGCTCTATGCGAAACGAGACCCCAGCGACGGGAGGGGTTGGGTAAACAGTCAGAGTTCCCGCTGTGCGCACGTCGTGACATGTGATCGTTTTTGTCATTCATTGTTTTGCCGATCGGCGCGGGCCCCAAAACCCCCCTTTCCCCCCCCCCCCACCATGGAGTAGATCTTGACGTTTTTTGGCGCCTGTCTCGAGTGGGTGGAGCTTCCCCCAGAAACAGCAATCTCGCAAACAGCCGCACGAAGCAGAGGTCTGGAGCCAGCCCCCCCCCCCCTTCGCTCCCCCCCCCTTCCGCCCTATATGAAGTCGGGCATGTCCCTCTACAGGAGGAATACTCCAAAATAGTCAGCAAATAGTCTGGGCACGATGTTTCGACTCCTTCTGCCTATTTGGGAGTATTGTCTGACGAATTTGCTTTCTCGTCCCAAATCCGCCTGTATCTGGGAGGACATGCCCTCCCTTTCCGCCCACTGTCGAAACGCCGAACCCAAAGAAAAACGCTCACCGTGAGAGCCGGCGCACGACGCGCCCCGCCAGGCGGCAGCCAGGCAAGGGGAACAACAAAAAAGAAAGCCCGGGCAGGCCGGCCAGCGAGCGAGGAGCCCGCACGGAGGCACCCGCGGGCGGCCACGTGGCGGAACAAAAAAAGATCCCAGGAGGCCCCCGGCCCACGAGCGGAGGTCCAGGCTCGGGGGCTCAAGAGTCGGGGGCGGAAGAGAGGGGGGTGATGACTATAGAGGGGGGGGACATCATGGCGGGGGCCATGGTATCGCCCCAGGTGTCATGGCGCCTCTTCTGGTTTCATGACGTCCCTGGCCCCCCCGCTGGGCCGCGCACATGCCGCCAGTCAAGATTTGCACCCCCCCCCCCCTATTGCACACCCCCATCTTGGCCGCTCCCGAAAGAGACGGGGGTCAATGCAAGCGGGGGTCTGCCAGAGCGCCAGATCTTGCAGGATCCTGCAGAGCCAGGGTCGCACTGACCCGGGCTTGGGCGTTGGGCGCAGGATCTTGCAGGATCCTGCAGGGCCAGGGTCGCACTGACCCGGATTTGGGTGCAGGATCTTGCAGGATCTTGCAGGATCCTGTAAGGCTTGACTGACCCGGGTCTGGATTGACCCGTGTCAGCAGGTCCCCGATAGGCTCAAGTCGGGCCCGTCCCTCTACGGGAGGGGTATCCAAAAACAGTCAAAGAATAGTCTGGGGATGATGGTTCGACTATGTTTGATGATTTTGGTATATATTGTTTTGACTTTTGAAAAAAAATGTCGTCTAAAATCCGCCTGTAGGGGGACGTGCCCGACCTAAATCGAGGCCTCCTAGGTGGGGTCCGAGTAGATGGGGTCGGAGGATCGCGCCGCATGGCCGATGCATCGGCTGCGCGGCTCGATGTGGAGCCCGCGTTTCCCCACGCCGCGTCGCCGACGCATAGCCGAGGTCGACGATGCATCGATGATGCATCGCCGGTGCATCGTCGATGGATCGCCGATGCTTCGACGACGTATCGGCGATGCGGCGCGATCCCCCGACCCCAGCTACTCCGGCCCCATCCAGGAGGCCTCTAACGGAGCGCCCAGTGACGGCCACTTGACCCTAAAAAATCATGCAAGTGGGCAAGAAGAGAAGCAGAAACAGCCCGCGAGTGCACGCACTGTTTGAGGAACATGATGCTTTGTGCTTCTGAGGTTTAAGACGAGTAAGTAAACTAGAATTTATGGCTGCCGAATTGCAGACTCGCCACGAGCACTAAAATGCTGATACGGTAAGTTCGCGTCGTGTTGACCGGCGGCGACCCCGCCGCTGACGTTCAACATTAAACGCCGACGGTGATTCAGAATCCGTCGATGCTGAACGATCTGATGTTCCGGAATCGGCCGATAATTCAAGGGTGAACGATTCTTGCGGTGTCAGGAACCAACGCCGAAGCCGACACGACACGAACTTGCCGTAGGTGCCTTCTCGGGGGCAACGATAGGGGGGATAGGCGTTGGGGGGATGCATCGTCCCCCAATCGCCCATTGATCGCCGATAGGGGACCAATAACCCCAACCTGCACAGGAAGGTGCGGATTCACTACCGGGGGCCTATCGCCGATCTATCGGCGATGTATTCCCGATTCGAGGTCGATGCATACCCCCCTATGCCAGTCCCCCCTATCGTTGCCCCTCACCTTCTTGTGATATTGCGTAAGGAGCATACTCCGCGTAGCCCGATGGCCGAAGGGGTGCGAGCGATGTGTCGGTTCTCTTTGCCCTGCTGCTCCAAAACAGCACAGCAACCAAACATGTACGTAGACCCGGGGCCCAGGGGGAAGAAGGACGAGGATCGGCCGGGCGTCGTGCCATAGGGGCGGGGCGATACATGACGGGATGAAGAAAGATGCACCGTTGTGCGGGACCTTGAAGGTGCCCCTGGGGCACGAAAGGCGCACGGCACTCCCTCCCCCCCTCATCCACCGCCCCCCCATTGGGCCACGCCACGTCCGAGATGAGGAGGATGTCAGGGCATCAGTGCCGCCACAGGCGACGCCGAGCCCGACGCCCACGTGCCCTGCAGGCTACATCTTCGCCCAGGCACAGTGCGAATGCAGCGCCAGAACACAGCAATGGGCGTCCGACTACCCGACAGTAGAGGCGTGCGGCGCGAAATGTGCGTCTACCGACGGTTGCATGGCCTTCGGCTCTTGGACAACTGCTCCAGTCGCTGGCTGGTGTGCTCTGTACGACAGCGCTTGCGGTAGTTGCGTCAATACCCCAGGCGCAGCCATGAACGCCTACAACATGTGTGATGGGGGCGATGCGCCGACGCTGGCGCCAACGTCGAGCCCCACACCAAGCCCCACGCCGAGCCCGACACCAAGCCCCACGCCGAGCCCGACACCAAACCCCACGCCGAGCCCAACAGCGACGCCGACGCCAAGCCCGACAGGGTCTCCGACATCCGCACCTGGCCCCACGACGGTGGGGATGACGACGACGACGACGACGACGATTGCGATGGTGATGAAGATGATGTTGGCGATGGTGGCAATCACCACGCTGCCGATGATGATGCCGATGATGCGGATGAGGGTGGTGAGACATGGCGCGCGCGGACCTTCATACGTCATGACAGGTCTTCCAGCGAGAACGCAAACACCAATCCGGTTGACATGCGGGCCCCGGAAACGGCAGGGCCATTTTTTCACCGTTTCAAAGAAAAATGCCCCTGGAAGATGGAGACGGCAACAAAAACGGCGACCGGAAACGGCAAGAAAACGGCTCCAGGGTTGGAACCGGAGCCGGAACCGGTACCGGTTCCAATCCGGTTCCGTCGCCATTGACGTCAATGGCGACGGAACCGGTAAAAAAACGGCGTCGGAACGGGCAACAAAAACGGCAAAACGGAACCGGTAAACAAAAATTGCCCTGTCGATCGTTTCCAGGGCCCATGGAGGCTGAGGCCACACGCGGTTCCGGAGGGAGGGCGACGTGTGCGCACGAGGAGGCGTGCGAGCCAGTGGCCCGCGGCGGCAGCGCACGGGCGGTGGCGGGTGCGCGCGGAGCTGCCGGAGTGCTGTCGAGCTGCGCCCGAGCGTGGCCCGCATTACAGTGGGGACCCATGCCAAGAAACACCCTGCTTGCCTCCAGGATGCCCTAGGTTTCTTGGGTTTCGATGGTTTTGCGCTGGGAAGCGTGACGTTCCCACATTAAAAATCGATGGACGTCCTGGGTTTTCAGGGTTGGGTTTCTTGTGGAAGGTTTCTTGTGGTCGGTTCCCTACTGTATTTTCGGAGGTGGATAGACCTCCTACCCTGACGCGTCGATTGAGGAATTGGCCGTTTTCGGTTCGCGAGAGGGCGCCGCGGCCGTCATTTTTGCGGGTCCAGGTCCGTCGGTTTCGGTCCCAGGCCGTTTTCACTAAGGGGAGGTTTACTAAAGGGAGGTTTGTCCACCGCCGATGCTTGTGCGCGTCGCAGTCTGGGCATTTTCTGAGGGTGGAGGGCTCGGGGAGGAATCCATGCGGGCCTTTGCACCTCGAAGTTCAGTCCAGCTTGTGATTTGCCTGGTGCAGATTCGAACCTCGAGAATCAGTCGAGACGGCATTTCAGATTTCACCCTTTGCCCTCCACCCAGAGAAGATGCGCGTCGCAGTGGCAAAGCACGCATGTAGCGACTGCGCGCGCGCGCGCGTCGACATCTTCCAGCACTGTATTGGAAACAGCCCATGCATGTTCATAGCCTAGCCCTCTGAAGAGACGTCGAAAAATGGGTTCGGAGGGTGTTGACGTGCGCGAGCGGGGGCGTGCGCATGTAGCCCGTATAGCTTTAGAGTGGCTAGGAGTGGTAAGACGCATTTGCCATACCAATGCGCACACACGACATTGTGTAATCTGACCAGGTTGAAACAGGAGCGATAGCGCGTCACCTGGTATTATTATGTTCTGCATTTAGAAACAATAATATGAGGGTAGGGGATACGTGGTGAGCCTTTGGTTGACATACATCAGTGTGGTCAAAGTACTTGGCACAAGCTACGTGTTAAGAGTCTAAGTTGTCAGGACGACGTCCCGCAATCTACATAGTCAAGCCGGCGCGGTGCAGCTCACCAGCTTGTACATCCCGTGGCCACTTCCAATGCTCACCATCAACGCAACGTTCGACACCCATTTGAAAAATGGTGCAGGTGATCTTCTAGCACAGGTTCATTAATCGAGTGGGCGAGCGATGCTGATGCTTCTGATGGTGGTGGTGGCGCGGATGACCATGGCGACGACAAAGACGCTGACGATGATAATGTTGATGACGGTGGTACGAGGACAACGATAGATGTAAATATGATTGTGACGATCGATGGCGACGTTGACGATGATAGTAGCTCTGGTGCGGACGAGGAGGGTGCGGAGGTGCTCGCGCAGAGATTCACATATCAGCGACCAGCGACCATCGGAAACAGTGTGGCTTCTAAGACATATGTGGTGATCGTTCTCGTATTCATTGTTTTGCCGATCGGCGCGGGCCCTCGCACCCCCCCCCCCTCTAGTGGATCTTGGCTGTCTTCGGCGCCTGCCTCGAGCAGGTGGAGCATCCCCTCACAGGACGCGCTGTCGCAGACAGTCGCACTACGCAGGGATCCAGAGCCAACCCTCCCCCCCTCTTCGCTCAATGTCGAATCGGGGGAGCGTAAGACCCGGGTTTGCCAGGACTCGAGTTCGCCATCGTTGTTTGACGACCGCGATTCGGATTTTGACGAGTAGGAGTTTCGTGGGATGTCTGCAGCGGGAGGCCTCGTCAAAATGCAGGCTCGGCCTCGTCATTTTTTTGACGACCTCGTCGGGGATCCCCGAGTCCCCTGTACCCGGGTTCTACGCCCCCCTGATCGAAACGCCGAACAAGAAAAGGCCGACGCGTCGAAATTACACACGGTGAGCACACCGTGCTTTTGCTGCGAGGCCTTCTCGCCGTGTGCGCGCGCAGAGAGGCGCGCGCGTGGCCCCTATCCACGGCACTGCTCCTGCCAGAGTCTTGGCGGGCGCGCGGTGACTTCGTGGATCCCTCCTCCTCCTCCTCCTCCTCCTCCTCCTCCTCGTCCTCGTCCTCGTCCTCCTCCTCCTCCTCCTCCTCGTCCTCCTCTTCCTCCTCCTCCCTCCTCCTCCTCCTCCTCCTCCTCCTCCTCCTCCTCGTCCTCCTCCTCCTCCTCGTCCTCCTCCTCCTCCTCCTCCTACAGAGGGGGCCCATGGCAAGAAACACCCTGCTCGCCTCCAAAGTGCCCTGGGTGTCTTGGGCGTCGACTGCTCGCGAGGGGAAGCGTGGCGCTCCCGCACCGAAAGTCCATGGACGTCCCGGGGTTTCAGGGTTGGGTTTCTTGCGGAAGGCTTCTTGTGGTCGGGCTTCCACTGCATGCGGCCCGCATTGTCTGAATGGACCGAATGGCCCAGGATGGTTCTGTGCGATGTGTGCGAGTGCGCGCACATGAGTTTTTATCACTACCCACTGAACAGATTCAGGAGGCGGAGCGAAGGGGGGAAGTGAGAGGGAGAGTGCCTTCTCGGAGGGCGGCGGGACTTCTCTCAGAAGCCTTCACGCCTTCTGAGAAGTTGTTGTTTCTTTCTTCGGGGAAGGCTCAGAAAACTCCTCAGAAGGCCGAGGGGACTTCCGAACCTTCTGAGAAGGCCTTCTCTTCCTCCTCTTCCTATTCCTCCTCCTCGTCCTCCTCCTCCTCCCTCCTCCTCCCTCCTCATCCCTCCTTTCTTCCTCCATCCTCCTCCCTCCTCCTCCCTTCCCCCCTCGCTCGCCGCCGAAAGTGAGCTTCGACACGCGCTGCCCAAAATCCAGCGGCCACCAGCGAGCTCGGAGGGGGACGGCGCTGTGCGATGGCGATTCTGACAGTTTTCGCCCCCCTGCCACACAGCGGAGACCCGTGCCAAGAAACACCCTGCTCGCCTCCTCCTCGTCCTCCTCCTCCTCCTCGTCCTCCTCCTCGCCTCCTCCTCGTCCTCCTCCTCCTCATCCTCGTCCTCCTCCTCGTCCTCCTCCTCCTCGTCTTCCTCCTCCTCCTCGTCTTCCTCCTCCTCCTCCTCCTCCTCCTCCGTAGCCATTTTGGCTCAAGGCAATGAACCGTCCCGACGACCGCGAGTCTTTCGGGGCGACTGAGCGCGAGGGAGGTTCCGCTTTGAGGCACCTCTCCAAACCAGTCCAGTCCATTTCAGGGGATCCCGATCCCGACAGAAGGTGCCTGTCGGTCCGAGCCCCTTTCCAAGCAGTTTCGAAGCCATGGTGCCGAGCCCTGCAGTGCTGCGCGGGCCGCGCAAGCCGCATTGGGGCTGCAGCCACTGTGGCCGCGCGGCCAACTGGGCGAGCCGAGTCACATGCTTGTGCGGCGCCAGCGCGCCGATGCGGGTTGTGGCCGCCGCTCGTGAGGCAGACAAAGCAGCAGCAGCAGGCGCTCCGTCCAAGAGAGTTGGCGGCTCAGGTCTTCGCCCGTCGCCAGCCCCTTGGAGCGCCGAGTTCAAGTACATCCAGCAGATGGAGCAGCGCCTCAAGGCCACAGAGGCAGAGCTTCGCAAAGTCAAGAGTGGCAACAGTGACAAGTCACAAGAAGAATCAGCTGCTGCTCAGGACCCAGCTCGGGCCAAGCGTGCAAAAATTCTCAAGCAGATCGAAGTGTACGAGAAGGTCGTCAGGGACACTGCCGAGTTCGGCGGCGCCGTGCACGACGCGAACAAGGCTGCGCTCGAAGATCTTCGGGCTCAGGCTAAAGCGTTGCGGCCCCCCGCCACGGCGCACAAAACAGCGATGCAGAAGCTCGAGAAGTCCAAGCAGCAGCTGGTCAGGCAGCAGAACGAGCTGGAAGAGTTGCAGCGCAAGATGGCACAGCTACAACAAGACATTTCAGGGAAAGAGAGCGCAATCATCGCCAAGACGTCCGAGGTCAAGATACTGCAGCAGGAGGTCGCCGAGAGTGCGGCCAAGCTCAACCCGCAGCAGCCCTCGACCAATGTCAAGGACGAGGCGCTCGACGAGGAGACGTTCAAGCTGGATACGGAGACCGAAGAGGTCAAAGCCGCCCCAGAGCCCGTGGGGTTCTATGCCAAGTTCTCGGCCGACCCCGTTTTCACCAAGTACCAGCAGTTCATCCGAGAGAAGTTCAAGAAGAAGGATGTGCCCATGCCGCAGGCGGAGCAGCAGCAATCTCCACCCGCAGCGGGCACCGACGCCAGCAACAAGCGTGGCACCGACGATGAACTCAATTTGCAGGAAGCTCAAGAATTGTGGAACGACTTGCAGAGTGACGCAGCCCAAGGTGACGAGGCCACCAAGCTGCTCGAGCTCATCAACAAGCTCCACAACGCCAAGAGGAGTCGTACTCGCAGCCCTGATCATGGCGCTCCAGGTCAGTACGAGAATGGCTCCTAACACGTTCACAGCTCCCCTCCAAGGTCAATGGTTCGACGCAGGAGGAGATAGCACACGCAGTTCCAGTACTGGGCCGACTTCGATGAGCTCGGCTTCGTCAGTTCAGATTCTTGCAGCCTCCGCAATTGGAGGAAGTACTGCAGCTGATGGGTATGGTCAGTCTGATATTGGATGCAGGCCACATGCCAACGTTCCCATCACTGGCATTCCCTGGATCTTGGGGGTCCCTGGGCAGTCCGAGTCGACGGACTCGTCGCCGCAGTCGTTGGAAGCAGCTCATGTAAAATGGCAATCTGGCGCGCAGAATTTGTCTAACGCCAGCCGAGACCAGCTTCCAAGAGTGAGCAGCCTCAGAGTATGTGGTGGTCGCAGTCAGGCCCCAGCTACTCCCGAGAGCGCTCTCTAGATGCATTTGATCGAGACCTTCAACGCCAACCAGGGGCGCAATACGTTAAAGAAGCGAGTCAAAGCTAGCAAGGCCAAGGTCATCCTGGCCCAAGAGATCGGTTATTTCACACATGACGTGGAGGAGCTCTACAGTTTCGCCGCTAAGATGGGTTGGTCAGCCATCGCACTACCAGGAGCCCCCACAGCAGGTCACCTTCCCACGGCAGGCGTCGCTGGTTTTGCTCGCAATGGGATTGGGCGGCGCTGGCCACCTGCAGCTAACACGTCCGAGATAGTTGCACACAGAGCGCCGCACATTCAAGTGGACGTCCCAGGCTGGCCGACCCTGAGTATATCCAACATCTACATCCACACGTGCGAGGGCATGACAGTTCGGAATGCGACCATTCTCGCCAGAGTTGGAGAAGAGATGGCTGGGCTCACACATCCAGCACTAATTGAAGGTGGCTGGAACATGAGCACAGATGTTGTTGAGGAGTCGACATTTCCACTACATGCGCATGTGGAGACCACCGCTCCGAAAGAGGTCACCTGCCGCACTCCAACTTCCGCACCTACGATCGACTACTTCGCGCCGAGCGAGGCCGCCATGCTACTGTTTCGCACCGTCACGGTGGACGCCGAGTGGCACATCAAGCCGCACAGGCCAGTTCACCTGCACATGGCGGCAGTAGGCAAGCCCTTGCAAGTCTTGACCTACGGCGCGGCACCGAAGTTGTCACCAGTCATCCCTGAAGGCACTCACTTGCCAGATGACCCCTGGAGTCGGGCTGCCAGGTATGCTGACGAGGCGTTGGTTCTAGCTAAAGAAGCACGACCAGATGCAGCTTGGGGTCTACGAACGTTGGCATGGGGTCAGTTCGCTGAGCAAGCAGGCCGTCGCATTGCTCATATTACTGGCGCAGAGGTCAAAGATTACGGCGCGTACTCCAAATCCCTACAGCCAAGATGGGTGGGTATCCACTATGAGTTGAAGGACGTTCCTGGTATCCAAGCGCGTGCAGACGGATGGAAATGGCTGTCTGATATGATGACAACAATTGCTCAACTGCGTGAAAGCCGTCAGCCCGATGAGACAAACAAGTTGCAGGACGAGGTTCTCGTTCTGCAGTCATCCGCTTACCCTGGGCAAGGCCTAAACCGCAGGTTGGACGCCAGTGTCGAGCAAGCACGTCGAGTCGTCAGCGGTCACTTTCATGCAGACGCCATACGTGAGTTGCAAGACGAGTGGCAAGATGATGTTGACCAAGCTTTTCAGGAAGCCGACAGAGACAGCAAATCGATCTGGAAAGATTGGTGTCGTCAAGCCAGCGCTGGAGGACTTCGAGGCCTTCACAGACTGACACAAGTTCGACAAGTACAGGCTCCTACCACAGTTATAACTAGCGCTGGGAAGTATTCAGCTCATCCTCATGATGTTGTTGCTGCCATGGAAGCTGAATACAAATCGATATGGCGAGGCTCCACGGAGGCCCCCCGAGCTCGGCTCCCCGACAGAAGCTCCCATCGACGAGTGGAACCTGAAGATATCCGCAGAGCCGCTCGCACCTTTCCAAGCGCCACGTCAGCGGGCCTCGACGGACTTCATCCTCGACACCTGTTGCATCTCAGTGACGATGCATTGGGAGTGCTAGCAGTTTTGTACGAAGCTATGGAATCACTTGGGATGCTTCTCAAGCAATTGGCATGGATTCGCATGCCTATGTTGCCAACGCCTCAGGGAGGCCACCGCCTCATTATCTCGTACGCGTCGGCCTACCGCGTTTGGCAAAGGATGAGAAGATGCGAATATGATGAGTTGTTGAAGGTGTTGGACAGGAAATACTGGGGCGCTGGCAAAGGCCGTCGCCCCATCGACAGTGCATGGAAGCTAGCAGCTCGCACAGAAGCCAGCACAGCCTCAGATCGGTTTTCTGTCACGCTCATAGCAGATTATTCGAAGTATTACGAGAACATCGAGTTGAAGCAGCTGCGGCAGAAGTTTATTCGCTTCGGAGCGGCCACGGCATCAGTCAAGCTCACCTACAACACCTGGCGTGCGCCAAGACTGATCCGACTGCTGCAGCATCACGGCAATCAACCTGGACATGCAGAGCACGGTATTCTTGCTGGCTGTGGGGTGGCTGACATAGCCATCAAAATGCACGCAGCCGAGCAGTACGATTATTATGTGGCGCTCCACCCCCTAGTCGACTTCGCCAGCTATATAGACGACTCGAGCATGGGAGTTGAAAGTGCTGACAGGTCCTCAGTCGTCTCCCTCGCGGTCGAAGCTGGCAAAGGTTTCTTGGAGACGGCCGCTGCACTTGGAGCCACAATCAATGAGAAGTTCGCAGTCCTCGCCAACACGAGAGAACTGGCCGAGGAAGTTGCTATCAAGCTCGGTTTTTCGGCAGACAAGGCTGTCACATCGACCACCTATCTTGGCACGGATCAGGCAGCAGGCAGAGTTCGTGTGGCACCGAGAACCCGAGCGAAGATGTCCAAGCGCAAGGCCACGCACCGTCTGCGTCTTCTTTCTCAAGCTGAGACGGTACAAGAGGGCCTTGCCTGAGCTTAAAGAGCAAAGGATTGGCAACGTTTTTCGCGCTGGCGCCAGGCCAGCGCTAACTTACGGAGTGGGGATATTGGGACTTGACAACGCTGAGTTATTGCAGCTGCGGCGTGACTACTGCAGGCAGGTCAAACCATTCCACGGAGGCGTTTCGATCACAGCAAAGCTGGTAGTAGACGGCGACCCCGCATTGCGGCAGGCTGTGGCACCAGCATTGCAATGGAGTCGAATGGTCTGGATGGCAGTATCGCAGCCAGACACAGCAGTTGTATCCTTGCAGGTGCTCAAGTCATGGTGGGACAAAGCCTTACCCCACCTTGATGTTGCAGCACTGGAATGGAAGCAAACGAGAGGTCCCCTGGTTCGCGCAGCACTGTGTGTACGCAGAGTTGGTTGGCCAGTTCAGTCAAGTACAGTTTGGAAAGATCACCGAGGAGCTGACATCCCCCTGGAGCAGCTTGCGCCAGGCATTCTCGAGGATCTCATGGGCAAGGCAATGCAGCGTCAACTTGAGATGAGCTTGGCAGACAAATGGGGAGCGCCTCCAGGATCTCGCGTTTCATTTGATTTGGTTCGTGCTGCAGCTCGGCCCAAGAGCCGTCGTCTCAATAAGCATCCGAAATTTCTTGTTCGTACGTCGGCGGTGGAAGGCCATTGGACCAAGGAGCGAGCACGTCTCAGAGGCTACCAAACTGATGGCCGCTGCAAGTGCGGAGCAGCAGATTCGGTTCACCACAGGCTGTTTGTTTGTTCCTTGCCAGAGGCGATTGCAGCTAGAGCCGAATCCGAGGTGCCAGCATCTTTTATCCAAGCAGGCGTCGATCATCCAGATGAGAGATGATTTACCCAAGGCTGCTTCATCTACGAGGACAGCGACACCCCAGAGCTCGATCCAGGTGTTGAAGCGCATTTAGTCACTCCTGAGTGCGAAGATATTGATGCAGAACCTGAGCAATTAGCTGAGCAACTTGTACAAGGTGACCGGTTGGAATTCGCAGTTGATGGATCCTGCAGCAAGCCTTCACTGGTCACTCTTCAGAGAGCTGGGTGGGCTGTGGTGCTAGTGAACCCTACGGCTGACACACCAGTTGCAGTCATGTGCGGCGCGGTCCCCAGAGCCATGCCCCAGTCGTCAGCGATGGCGGAGTTCCTGAGCATGGCTTTCGTTGGGCAGATCGCTGACCGACCGTCCACGGTATATGCAGATTTCATGGCAGTGGTGAAGGCGGCACTGAAGTCGAAGCAGGAACAGTTGCAGGCCAAGTCAATGTACTCGTGCGTGCAGTTCTTCGGCCACCAGATGCGCGGCTACGACAACATCCAGAGCGTCCGCCACGTCAAGGCCCACAAGTCTGGCGAGCAGTACCAGGCGCTCTCGGACGAGGATAGGCGGATCACGGACGCCAACGCGGTCGCCGATGTGTTCGCCAAAAAAGCTGCCCTCTTGCACCCATCTGCTTCTCCTGAGTTCCTTGTGAGAGTAGAGGATGCTTGCACCCAGGCCAGTCACTTTGTGAAGTTGTGTGCCCACGTTCTCCCGTGTCTCGAGCTTGAGGAGAGGTTTTCCAGGCTCCCTGTGTTCGAGCGGTCGAGGCACACTATGAAAGACAACTGGCATGATTGGTGCAGTACCTCTATCGGCATTCAGTGTAGGAATTGTCTCAGCGTTTTGGAGCCTGGTCGTGACAGGCCCATGCTGGGCTGCAGAGGGTTGCCCAAGTTTTTGAGGGATTTCAGGCAAAATCCCCTGGGCCACCAGTTGGTTGCTGTTTCCCAGGGGAGCGTGTCCAGCTGGAGCTGCGCGGGGCCTGCCTGCACAGCTCCAGTTTTTGTTTGTTATTTGTGTGGGGCCTGGGCTCAGCAGCGTCGTAACGACAAGCTTCGCTCCCCTCGCGTGAAGCCTACGTCTAAGGGTGAAGAAGTACTGCGAAATCTCAGGAGGGGAGTCGGTCCGCATAAGCGGCTGGCTAGACGTATCGATTCCGTCGCGCCTCTTCAGAGAGTTGCCCTAGTCAGTGCCCAGCCCTCTTCGAGTTCCACAAGCGTCACTCGATCGAATCCCAGTTCTGTCCTGTCCTACGAGGTTCGTATGGCAGCATTGCACGCCCGTATCAAGGCAAAGGAGGAGGCTGCCCGAGGCACGGCCCCCTCCCGATAGAGCGGCGGCAACTCGCTGCTCGACCAGTTCCAGGCGGGCGCGCGCGCGCCCGTGCTGTCAAGCAGTCATGTGACAAGGTACTCTTGCAGTCATTTAGTCATTTCGTCCTCCTCCTCCTCCTCCTCCTCCCCCTACAGTGGGAGCCCATGTCAAGAAACACCCTGCTCGCCTCCAGGCTGCCCTGGGTGTCTTGGGCGTCGATGGTTCTGCGATGGAAAGCGTGACGCTCCCGCGCCAGAAATCCATTTACGTCCTGGGAGTCTCGGGTCAGGGTTTCTTGCGGAAGGCTTCTTGTGGTCGGGCCTCTACTGCATCAACGAGTGCGCACCGCAGTACACCACTTGACAAGGGCGAGGGGGAAAGACCGAACGCGCGCCGGCTGGCAATTGTACTACTTGATGTCTGAACGGGACGCCCGTGCAGAACATGAGTCAGCAAAAATACGCAGAAGGTGGTGGGCAAATCTACCTTCGGCAGGGGGTAGATGACAGTTAGCTTTGGGAGAATTTCGAGTGGCCTTCGGCCCATCACGTCACCGTGCCTGGGTTGTGGGCCATCGGCCTCTAGGATGTTCCTTGGAATGTTGCGGGAAGCTTTGAGGGGCCTCATGGAGGACATTTTGAGGCGGGAGCCGTTTTGGGGCCGTTGGGGCGTCTTGGGGACCTCCTGGGGGCCTTTTGCGGCGTCCGTAATTGGGGGGCGCGAGTTTGGCGTAATTTAAAATGAAGCGCGGCCCCGAGGGCGCGAATCTATGACATTTGCGGGGGATCGTGACTTCGGGGGCGCGAATGTGGACGGCGGTGTCGTGGCCTCAGGGGGTCGGGCGCGAGTCTGGCGTGATCTCGGAGGGATCGTGGCCTCGGGGGCGCGAAGGCGCCGTAAGTTACACAAGGGAATGGGCTCGAAAGCCAGACTTTGGTGCCACCCTGAGGTTCGGCGGCGAGCGAGGGGGGGAAATGAGAAGGAGAAGGCCTTCTCAGAAGGCGGCGAGACTTCTCAGAAGCCCTCGCGCCTTGGGGAGGATGAAGAGGAGGAACAGGGGGAAGAGGAAGAGGAGGAGGAGGAGGAGGAGGAGGAGGAAGGCGGGGGGGAGGAGGGTGAGGAGGAGGGGGAGAAGGAGGAGGAGGAGGAGGAGGGGGAGGTTGAGGAAAAAGAAGAGCACCAAGAAACATACGATGTCGAATAAGCATAATACTAGCACTAATAATAATAACAATAATAGTAGCAAAAACAATCTAAATAACAATAACAATACGGCTAGTAATAATGCTAATTCTACGAATAAGAATAACAATAGCAACACTATTAGTAACACCTATAGTTGTAATAATAATACCAACAACATTACTGATGCGAATGAGAAGAATAAGAATAGCACTGATGATAGTGAAAGTAATACGAATAATAGTGATACGAATACTAACCACACAATTACTAATAGTACGAGTAAGTATGGTAGAGATAATAACACTCATAATAATTCGAATACCCATACGAATAACAATAATACTAATGCGCAGGAGAAGGCGAAGACGACGAAGACGAAGAGGAGGAGAAGGAGGATGATGATGCTGATGATGATGATGATGCTGATGATGATGCTGATGATGCTGATGATGATGATGATGATGATGTTGATGACGATGATGATGATGATTATGATGATGATGATGATGAAGATGATGATGATGATGATGATGATGATGATGATAACGATGATGATGATGATGATGATGATGATGATGATGATGATGATGATGATGATGATGATGATGATGATGATGATGATGATGATGATGATGATGATGATGATGATGATGATGATGATGATGATGATGATGATGATGGTGGTGGTGGTGGTGGTGGTGGTGATGATGGGGAGGAGGAGGAGGAGGAGGAGGGAGAGGAGAAGGAGGACAAGGATGAAGGGGACGGGGAGGAGGAGGAGGAGGAGGAGGAGGAGGAGGAGGAGAGGAGGAAGAAGAGGGAGGAGGAGGAGGAAGAGGAGTTTGAAGGAGGGGGGGGGGGGGGAGGAGGGGTAGGCGGGGAGGAAGGGAGAGGAGAGGAGGAGAAGAGGAGAGGAGGAAAAGGAGGGAGGAGGAGGAGGGGGGAGGAGGGGAGGAGGAGAGGAGATACGGGAGGAGGAGGAGAGGATGAGGAGGAGAGAGGAGGAGGACGAGGACGAGGAGGGGGAGGGGGGAGGAGGAGGAGGAGGAGTAGGAGGAGGACGAGGAGGAGGGGGAGGGGCAGGATGAGGGGGAAGAGCGGGGAGGAGGAGGGGGATGAGGGGGTCGGGGAGGAGGGGGAGGGGAAGGGGAGGAGGAGGGGGAGAGAAACGAGGAGGAGGAGGAGGAAGAGGAGGAGGAGGAGTAGGAGGGAACGCGAAGAAGCAGAAGAAGACGACGAACAATACTAATACGAATACTAATAATATGGATAGTATTAAAAATAATAATAATAATAATAATAATAATATTAATAATAATAATAATAATAATAATAGTAATAATAATACGAATACTAATACTAATACTAATACTAATACTAATAATAATAATAAGTATTATTATTATAGTAGTAGCAATAATACGAGTAATGATAATAAGAAGAATAAGAGTAGTAATAATAATATGAAGAAACTGAAGAAGACGAAACGGACGGAAAATGATCATACGCATAATAACAAGACGACGACGAAACAGGCGAATACTAATAATAGTAATAAGAATAAGAATAAGAATAAGAAACATAATAATAATAATAGTAAGAATAATCATCATAATAATATGAAGAAGAAGTAGAATGATAATACGATTCGCAAGAATCGGAAAATAAGAATAATAAGAAGAAGGGCAGGAGGAGGAAGAGGAGAAGGGAAAAGGAGGATGCGGAGAAGGAGGAGGAGGAAAAGGAGGAGGAGGGGGGGATAGGGGAGAGGAGAGGGAGGAGGAGGAGTAGGAGGAGGAGGAGGAGGAGGAAGAGGAGGAGGAGGAGGAGGAAGAGGAGGAGGAGGAGGACGAGGAGGAGGAGGAGGAGGAGGGGAGGAGGAGGAGGAGGAGGAGGAGGAGCAGGAGGAGGAGGAGGAGAAGGATCGGTCGGTCGTTGGCGGGGCGAGACGTGACGGGGCGAAGCAAAAACATTTGTTGTGCCCTAAGGGGGACCCCGAAGGGCTCCTGGGGCACCGGGCGCGCGGTTCTCCCCCCCCCCGCCATTTGTCGCCCCCCAATTGGGCAACGCCCGAGATGAGGAGGATGTCAGAGCAGCAGTGCTGCGACAGGCGACGCCGAGCCCGACGCCGAGCCCGCCGCCCACGTGCCCAGCAGGCTACACTTTTGCCCAGGCACAGTGCGAATGCAGCGCCAGAACTCAGCAGTGGGCGTCCGACTACCCGACTGTAGAGGCGTGCGGCGCGAAATGTGCGTCTACCGACGGTTGCATGGCCTTCGGGTCTTGGACAACTGCTCCAGTCGCTGGCTGGTGTGCTCTGTACGACAGCGCTTGCGGTAGTTGCGTCAATACCCCAGGCGCAGCCATGAACGCCTACAACATGTGTGATGAGGGCGCTGCGCCGACGCTGGTACCAACGTCGAGCCCCACACCAAGCCCCACAACGAGTCCCTCACCTAACCCAACGCTGAGCCCGACGCCAAGCCCGACGCCGAGCCCCACGACGAGCCCCACGACGAGTCCCACACCGAGCCTCACGGCAAGCCCTTCACCGAGCCCAACTCCGAGTCCCACAACGAGCCCCTCACCGAGCCCAACGCTGAGCCCGACGCCAAGCCCCACGCTGAACCCCACAGCGAGCCCGACGCCAATCCCAACAGGGTCTCCGACATCCTCACCTGGCCCCACGACGGTGGGGATAATGACGACGACGATGGCGATGGTGATGAAGATGATGTTGATGATGGTGGCAATGACAACGTTCCCGATGGTGATGACTATGATGCGGATGAGGATGGTGAGACATGGCGCGCGCAGATATTCATACATCATGGTAGATCTTTCAGGGATGGCGCATTTAGATGACAGGTGTCCTGGACCACGTATCCGGTGACATGCTCAGACAACACATGATTCCGGAAGGAAGTCGACGTGCGAGCGCGGAGACGTGCGAGCGTGGCCCGCGCTGCATCGTGTGACATGTGTGGCGGGTGCGCGGGTGCGCGTGTGGCGGGTGCGTGTGAGACGTGTGGCGGGTGGCGGGTGCGAGTGTGGCCCGCAATTTTCCCCACATCCAAAGTGGGGTTCTTTTTTTGGGGGGGACACCCCCCGCGCAGGAACCCCTCACCCCTCTTGTTGCCACTGACACTCACATCATCACAATCATCATCACCACCACCACATCAACATCAATTACATACTCACACACACTCCCTCGATCGTTTTCATTCACTCATAACTGACTCACTCACCATCCCACTCACTCACGTCTCCTGAGTGGCTCATTCACCCACTCATAACTACCACAGAGTGAATTGCGAGGAAGTCTCAGGCGGGGGGGGCCCTCCCTATGGGGCCCGCAGATCATGTTATCGGAGCTTGAGATGACCAGGGGCCACTACGATGGGTGTCTCTTCATGAAGCTGAGCAACAGGATGAAGGCAGAGAGGCACGCCGACGACTTCCTCATCATTGGACCTAGCGACGAGGTCGACAAGCTGCTAGAGGTGATGGGAGAGAGACTGAAGTTATCGTACGTGGTGAAGCTCACCAAGAAAGGAGACCAGGCGACGCTCTTGAGCACGCAGGTGGAAAAGGCCGAGGATGGCTACACGATCAGCGGCAAGACGAGCTTGACCGACGACATCTTGAAGGAGCTGGGCCTGGAGACGGCGAAGCCATCAGTGCTGCCCGAGACCAAGGACGAGGTGCACATGAAGAGCGACGAGGTATATCTGGATGTGGTGGGCCACAGTCGCTACAGGACCCGCGTGGGGAAGCTGTTGAAATTGGCGAGCCACCGCCCTGACATTCAACACGGAGTTGGAGTTCTAAGCAGAGGCATGTCAGGACCAACGGAGAAGGGCCTGGGGAGGTCGAAGAAGATGGCGCGGTACCTCGCCGGCACGCGCGACTACAAGGTGCAGTTGGTTCCGAACAAGGGAGGCATTGCAGTGGAGTGCTGGGTGGACGGAGACTGGGCCGATGACAAGACGGACAGGATCTCGACGAGCAGCGGCATCTTGAAGTATCATGGGTTCACCGTCCTGTCGTGGTCGAGACGCAAAGGTTGCGTTGCGTTGAGCTCGGCAGAGAGCGAGCTATACGCGCTGGGCTCGGGAGCAGCGGAGGCTCTCGGACTGGCATCACTACTCGAGGAGTGGAAGGCGAAGACGGTACCGCTCGCGATGAGCGACAGCAGCAGTGCGGTACACATCGTGAAGAAGCGCGGGCCAGGAACGATGAAGCACGTGGAGATCCGCTTCCTGGCGCTGCAGACGTGGCGCGAACAGGGCCGATTACATGTCGGCAAGGTCTGCACTCACGAGAATCCGAGCGATATGATGACCAAGCCGACGACCAGGAAGAAGGTGGAGAAATTTACGGAGATGGTCGGCTTGGTACGCTCGTAGGGCGAGAGATAGAGGCTTGAGCCCAAGCGGGTGATAACAGAAGTGAGTGAGGAGATTGCCTGCCTGCGTAGGAGGATCAATTTGTGAGGGGAGACGGGCCTCAGTGGCCCAGCGATCCCCATCCCGTTTTGAGGGCTGCTTTAGATAGCGTTTCCCTCCGAGGTGTGGCTCCAGAGTGGACCTGGCGACCTCGAGGGCGTGTTGAGGGAAACCGTAGATAGAGAGAGGGTTTAATTACGTTTAAACAAGAGTCTGATACGTGACCCTTTCCGCAGCCTCTTTGGCACAACAGTTATCAGGTAGACGTGTCTCTTTTGGGACACTTACCCATTGGTCCCCAGCTTGTGGGGGTGCTTCAGGCGGAACGTTTGTGTTTTGTTTGATTCGGTTGTGTTTATAATTGTTCAAGGCTGCGTGGCCGTTGTGACGTAGCAAGCGTAGCACGCGGGGACCACAAAGGGGGGCCGCTAGGTGATACATCGCGGACGCGGTCGCGCTCATATTGCGAGGATGTCTCGGCCGACCCATTTTCTTACATACCCGCTCATTGTCCGACGCTCCTAGACAGAAGTCGCAAGGAAACCTACGTGCTACCTGGCGAAGGAAAGTAGCGTGGATGAGGAGGATCAGGAGGAGGAGAAGAAGAATAACATGCTCACCGATGCATGCATGGGGAATTTCCCGTGCCGAAGCATGATTCATGCCGTCGTTTGTGCAGCAGCTCGCTTTTGAGAGGCTCTACATCCGCGGACATTTGGCTTGTGCAGCCCATGCACTTCTTACTCTCTCCCTCTCCCTTTTTTCCGGCGCTCTCCCACTCGTTGTTTGGGTCTTTCGTTTTCAGTTTGGCTCTCTTTGGTTCCTCCGCCTTTATGATGCCGCGCGGATTTGGCCGGCCAGTTGGGTTTCGAGGCGCGCTGCAGTTAGCAAGGTTTCGTCCGCCAGGCCTCGTTTGAGGCGGGTTGGTTTGTGTTGCGTTCCAGGCGCATCTGGCGTTGCCCCCGTTCGCGCTGTGCCGTGCAGCCGCGCGGTGGTGCGTTGCAGCGCGTTCCTTCCCTCATCCTCCTCGCGCCTTTTCTTTCTGCCCTGGCCCCCCCTCCCGTTTCTTGTCGGCAGATGGGCGTGGGACGGGCCCACCCCTTTCCTTTCCCCCAGCCTCCCCCGCGGCGGCGCCGACATCGCTCCGAGCCCAACTTGGAGGTGTCCGAGCACGGTTTCGACGGCCGTCGGGGACGGGAGGCCCGACTGTGCACCCCTGCCTTTTTGCGGGGGGATGGGGGGGATCGTCTGTTGCGCCTCCTTTTCTTGGTTCGTCCGTTCCCCGTCCTCCCTCCTTGCTAGGCAACATCACTTGATGCACGCATTGACCCCTGCTCTGGCGCCCAGGTTGCGAGGAACGCGGAAGCGACAGCGCCGAGACTTTTGATTGCGTGGTTGGGTTGGCTGGTCGCCTGGATCTCTGCCCCCGTCGCTGTCGAGAAACAAAAATGCCATTGCCAGACGCGCGCCTTCTCCTTCAAACCTCGCGCCCGCAGTGTGAGGACATCTCAAGTGATGTTGTTGCGTTTGATGGTTGGGCGATTGGTGAGTTTGGTCGGCGCGGCACTCACCCGATTGTTTGGCAGCGGGGGCCGGCCCCCCGCATGGTCGCACGACGTGGTGTTCATTGGGCCCCAAGTGTTTACCAGTCCTGCGGTGCTCGCGCAGGGTTTGCATGGCGGAGCGCAAGGTCAACTGCCACTCGGATCGCGCACATCCTGCGGCCTGAGCAGCACAAGCGGCCACGCGGTGCATAGATATCGCCCGCGGCCCGTTCGCTTTGCGCTGCCCGCGCGTCACGTCCAGCCCTCTGCAGGGGGCGCCCGCGCGCCCCGCGCGGCCCACGCGGCTTCGGCAGTCCGACGCTGCCCCCCCCCCCCCACACACCCCACGCGGATCGGCCTGCCCATGTGGATTACGCGGGCTTTGCGTTTCGCGCAGCTCCGGCGGCCCATGCGGCACGCGCAACTCCCGCGCCCCACGCACGGCGCAGTCCACGCGCACGCGTCGCCCCCCCCTTGTCCCCATGCCTCGCGTTCCTGCGACAAGGGCGTCACCCAGACGCGGGCTAGGACCTGACTTGTGCAGTCCTTCCCCTTTTCCGACTCTTTTCCTCCTCTTCTTTTTTGGTGTTATCCAGTTTGTTGATTGGGTCTTCTTGTTTCCCATGTGTTCTTTGTTGTTCCTCCGCGTCTTCGTTGCCGCGCGGATTTGGCTGGTCGTTTGTGGCATTCAGGGGCGCGCTGCAGTTAGCAACGTTTCGTCCGCCAGGCCTCGTCTGCGGCGGGTGGGCCCGTGCTGCGTTCCAGGTGCATCGGGCGTTCTTCTATTTCGCGATGCGCTGCAGCCGCGCGGTGGCGCGTGGCGGTGCGTTCCTTCCCTTTCCTCTCCCTCTTGCGAGCCATTCTTTATTGCCCCGCTCCCCAGCCCCGTTTCGGTTTCTGTTTGCGGACGAGTGTTGGACGGCACTCCGTCTTTCCCTCCTCGTCACTTCAATCCAGGCTGCTCCGGCGGCCGACGGGGGCGGGGAGGGACTACATAGCGCCCCTGCCTTGCGGGAGGGGACATGTTCAGTGGTTCCTCATTTCCCGGATTCTTCCCGCCCCCGCACCCCCTTCATCAGCCCCGCCATTATGCCCGCTTTGCCCCCCCCGTCATGGCGCCAGCGATGCGAGGAAGACTCAAGCGACAACGCCGGGACGTTCGACTGTTTGGTTGGGATTGTTGTTTGTGTGTTTGGCTGCATGGCGAGTTTGTTGGTTGATCGGGTTTCGCTCGTCCTCCTGGTTTGTTCCCCGCACCGCCTCCTTCAGCCCCAGCCGTTGCCGTCGTAATCGCGACCCCTCCGCTCAGCGTAGCCATTTTCAACATTGCAGGATGCACGCCTCTTCCCTGGCAGCGTGACTCGCGTGACGCAGTATTTGCTTGACGCATCCGCATCCCGCCCCCTCGCCCCTCGACTTCCTCACGCGGATTTCATATGCGCGGCAGGTTCACGGACACCCTGACACGATGACAATCAGACCAAATCGCAAGCCAACCTGCTGACATTTAGGCCCGCTCACACCCAACGACCAGATTCGCAAAGAGCCAGGATCACTCAGGCTCACTCGCACCCACACTCAACCACATTCAAACCAATCGTACTTTGACGCGCTCACGCGCGATTCGACGCCCATCGAGATGCAGCAGGCGTAGCAGTAGGGTACCCCAAGGAGGAGCCGCCTCGGACTCGTCATGGTGGAGCACGCCCTGATGTTTTGACAGACGCGCGAGTGCGTGGCACCTGGGCGCGCCGAGGAGCAGCCGCCAGGGGGTCGGGCACGCGCCCGTTTGCGATGTCGTTGTGAGCGTTCCAGGCTGTTCCCCAATCAGAGCTTGCCTTTGTAGGGGTCTTGTAATAGCGGATTCCTATGGTCAGGTTAGGTTTGCTGCCGATGTTCGCTGCACGCCCGGGAGCCCGGGTGCCGGGGGGTGCCCAGGGGTGAGGTTGGCCGCCGATTTTCGCTGCACGCCCCGGTGCCCCGGGGGGGCCCGGGGGGGGCCGGGTGCCTGAGTGCCCGGGTGCCCGGGCGTGCCCGGGGGTGCCCTATAGCCCTACAAGTCTATAGCCCTATAGCCCTATAGCTCAATAGCCCTATAGCCCTGTAGCCCCCTAGCCCTATAGCCCTGATCTTTTTGTTCTCCGGTATCATGTGTTTGTTTGGCAGAGTATACAAGTCGATTTTGAAAGGCGCACGACCACCGCGGTAGAGCAAAGGTGCAGCTTGGGCACCCCAAGGAAGAGCCGCCAGGGAGCAGCACGTGCCCGTTGGCGCCAAGATTGTGGCGGTCTGCCCGTTGTCCGGGACAAGCTCTTCTGTCTTGAGAGCAGTTTGGTCGCCTCGACAACGCAGGCGTGGCATTTGGTCGCCCCAAGAAAAGGCCGTGTTCGTTCGCGCCCACATTGTGGTGGATGTCTCTGTCGGTCTCCAAGTTTCTTGGATCAGATTTGTTTTGAAAGCCACATGACCGCCACGATATAGCAGGCGTGGCACTTGATCACCCGGAGGACAAGCCGTTAGGATGTATGATATTAGTTGGGGCACATGATCACCGCGATACAGCAGGCGTGGCAATCAGACGTCTCAGCGACGAATTGCCAATGAAGGGGGCACTTGCCCGCTCGCGCCCAGCAGCAGGCTGCTTCCCTTTATTAATCGCTTCGCTCATTCCGCCGGCCCATATTGTCGCACCGTTGTGGGCTAGCCGAGTTTTGGGGCCTCCTGGGGGCCGTTTTGGGGCCTCTTGGGGCCTCTTTTGGGCCTCTTGGGCGCCTCTTGGGGCGTCTTGGGGGCCTCTTGGGGGCCTCTTGGGGCCTTTTTGGGGCCTCCTGGGCGCCTTCTGGGGCGGAGCTCGGGAGCCCCTCTTGGGCCCGTCTTGGGGCCTCTTGGTCCGTCTTGGGCGGCATGGGCCGTTCCGGGGCCGTCTTGGGAGCCTCGTGGGCCGTCTTGGAGCGGTCTTGGGGGCCTCTTGGGCCGTCTTGGAGCGTCCGGAAGCCGAAAAAGCCAGAACGCAAAAAACATCGAAAAAACAATGAAAATCAACGATTTTGGCCTCTTGGGGCCCTCTTCGGAGGCCTCTTGGAAGGCCCTTGGGGCGTCTTGGAGGCCTCTTGGGCTGTCTTGGGGCCCTGTTGGGCGTCTTCGGGCGATCTTTGGCCGTCTCGGGGCCCTCTTGGACCGTCTTAGGCTTCTTGGGGACCTCTTGGCCCGCCCTGGGGCCCTGTAACAGAACTCCGGCATCTCTGGCCCGACCTTGCCGGGACCTTGCCGGGGTACTTTTCGTCCGGGGACCCCCAGGGGCCGCCCCGCGCGCGCGAACTAGAAATACTGTTAACCAGGTACCGGAGATCTTAGCACGCCTTGGCCCGTTGGGCCTGCGAATTTACATTCAGCTCAATTCAGACTCAGCTTAGGCATATTCAGGCTCATGCGCACAAAACATTCACACACACACACACACACTGTGCATTCATGTTCATGTCTACACATATTCATACTACCCGCATTCAAACCACACCACTCAGTCCCATTGATACCCAAATTCATGTTTACTCAGACTGACTACCCATGCTCGGACACAGCCGCGCTCAGACTCACCCACATTCAGTCTCACTGGTACTGTGGCTGACCACGATCATCCCACAAACGTTCACATGTATTCAACACGCAGCGGTGGGGCACTCTTTTGGGGGAGCCGCCATGGGTTGTTACGTCTGCCCGTCTCAAGCTTGATTGCGGGCACGTCTCAAGAGAAACACTGGTTTCGGCACCCATGGCGTGTTTTCTTTCGGGATCCCTGTGATCATCGCGGTGTAGCAGACGTGTCCCCGGGGAGCCGCTAGGGAGCGTTCAGTCGCCGCAGGTTGCTACGCTCCCACTCAGGCACTCACAGTGGGACGTGCCCAGGAAAAATATGCGCACATAGGGATTCAGTTAGTTGGTTGGTTGGTTGGCCTGGCCGGCGATGCACTGCCTGGGTTGCTCGGTTGGTCGGCACGGGGCCGAGTTGCAACAGGGGTTCGTTTCCAGCAAGGCCTTGCGGCCCCCGCATCCCATGCGGCCCATGCTGGTGGTACGGGCCATCTGGATCATGCGGCCTTTGCGGCTCGCCGTCCACGCGCAGGTGTCGCCCGTGTCGTCACACCCCGTGCGCTCAGCAGCAGCCGCAGCGACAAGGGTGCCACCAGCACGCGAACAGCGACCCTTTGTTTTTTGTTCCACGGGGATTGCTTCGGTTTCGGTCCAGGCGGCGCCACGCGATGCACTCGCACAAAACGATGGGTTTTGTTCAGTTGTCCAGTAAATTGTGCGGAAGTCCAGCCGGAGTAGTATGACAATTGAACGCGTGAGGGGTTCGATGCGTCGGAGCGCCCCAGTACAGCTTCGCATCCAGCGAATCCAAAGAAAAAGGTGCCAACGGCTGGCCCACCGCCGAACCCGACGACCAACCCGACGGCCAGCCCGACGGTAGCACCAACGGCAAATGTGGCTTGCGTTTACAAGTTCACACCAACGAAGCTACGAGCTGATCAGATGGTCCAGCTGGCGGAGATCGAATTTATGAGCAACGGGGCCGATGTTACAATCAGTTCCGCCACGAACCCTGGAGGTGACTACAATGGTGGACAAAGCCCCGAAATGGCCATAGATGGCGACGTCACTACCAAATGGCTCGACAAAAATGTGTTACCTCTCGAGCTTACTATCGTGGATTGCAGCCCGGAACCAGATAGCTTCAGGTTCATAACCGCCAACGATGCTCGAAACAGGGACCCTGTGCAATGGACAATGCAGAAGTATATTGGCAGTTCGTGGGTGGATGTACACGTTCAAGATGTGGATTACCCAACGCCCAAGGATCGTTACACGGCGACCGAATGGTTTCCACTCCAGGCGCCTTCATAACACTCGTTCGTTGACGTAAACGTCCATAATGTGCAGTGTTATGTTGTGTTGCGGCGGGTGGTCAGGTTGAGGATGAGAGTTCTGACGATGAGAGGGAGCACGAAGTTGCGGACCAGGACGAGGGAAGGAGGAGAAGAAGATGAGCAGCAGGATGATTCTGATTCGGATAAATGTGAAGGAGGATGCTTATGTGGACGAGCACGACGAGGAAGATGTTGGCGGAGATGCAGAGGAGGAATGAGGAATCAGATGATGGAGGAATCAGATGATGAAGAGGGATGATGGTACCGAGGAGGAGGATGAGAGGGAGATGAGGATGGGCGAGGAAGATGGTGGGGATAACCAAAAGGATGAGGGACAGGAAGAGGGGGGGCAGGATGAATTTCAGAAGGGCCAGAGGAGAAGGATGAGGTTCAGGACGGGGAGGAGGAGAGGTGAGGGGAGCGGAGGGCGATAAAGAGACATGATTATGGTACGGTGATACGAACGATGACGAAGAGAAGGGACGAGAAGCAGGAAGGGTCGGCCACGCGCAGAGGGGGGCGCGGGCCTTGTCTATAGATGTAGGGCTGGCGCCTTCGAACACCATCTTCCCCCCGCCAACGGGGGGAAGATGGTGAAAATGAGAATGCGGACAGGGAGGACGTAGATCGCTGTAACCGTTCCTACTCTACACTTGCCCTATCCCGCCCCATTTTTGTTCGTATTCGCAGCGGCCTTGCCCGACATGTGCAATGTCATTACTACTTCTTGCCATCTGAACGCTTCCCTACGCGCGCTCGCTCCCCAGGCTTCAGTATCCCTTCTCCTGTCGCTAATCCCCTGCCTCAGCATGATAACTCATGACAATGCTGAGATGGCTTGGCAGTGTTACGTGAATCAATCCTGATGTCTCTGGTGCGTGTCACTAACATTCTCCATGTGTTACAGCAGCCACGCGTCAAATTCTGCGCCACTCCTACCCAGGTCCTAGTCCCAAGTCGCAGTACTCCTCTGACGTTCCCGGCTACGTACTGGCACTCCCCACTCGCACTCCTCGCGTTGCGACTCCCATTGATTCCAGAGCAAAAGCGCCCCGCCCCAGGGAGGTAGGGGGAGGGGTGGATATTTCTCATGATCGACACTCTCAGCCCCCATGACTGTCGATGCGAAAAGCCGTGGACCAGTCCAAGCCCAGACCAAGCATCCGAGCGAAAGCACATGCAACATCGAGCGGACCGCCCTCGAGGATCGCCTGGGACCGGGGGGCGCTGAGACGGGGTGGGTCCCCGAGTTCCGGCTGGCTTTGGAAAGCCATGGGGAGCAACCGGGTAGGCATGAAGTAGTTTTCGGGCGTACCCCCACCAGAATCTACGAATCCTCATCCAGTCGAGTTGCAGCGCGACTCCGCCGCCGCGCTTGGGCGGGCGGCGCTTGGGCGGGCGCCTCAGCAGGGGGGGGGAAGAGGCGGGAGAAAGGGCGGGGGGGGATCAAAGAGGGTTGGCCGCGGAAAGCAAGACGGGAAGCTCTGGTTTCTCCTTTCACAACGGGGGGTCGCGGCGACGGCGAGGTCGCAGACAGAGGGAGTGAAGGGGCTCTCCGGTGAGGACCTGCCCAAGGACTCCCCGTTGGTCGCGCAGCTCGCGCAGTGGGCGGCGACGACAGTCAACATGGGTCGCCGCGGCGTGGATTGCAAGACGTCCTGAGACGCCATGGGAAGCCCTGCAGACGAGCTCTGGCCGAGTTCGGCGAAACGGTGATGTTCTTGCCTGCATGCGAGAGGGCAAGCAGGCTGGGCGCGCGGGCGCGTTTGCAGGGATCGCCGAGGGTACCGGCGACACGCCCATCGCGGCCCGGACTGGCGAGATGCGCAGAGCGCGGACTCTCCGACGCTTGCCCGAAGGAGATCGAGTTGATCGAGACCTCCTGCGATGGGCCAAGGGTCTGCCGTGGAACCCGCGCGGGGCGCGGGCGGATGCCGGGCCCGCGCCTGGGGCGCGACTCGTTGCGGAGCCAACAATTCCATTTGAAGAGCGACCCGCAGCACCGGCGGCCCTCGACGCGGCCCCGCGACACATTTGCATCAAGCAGGGCGACGCGGAGATGCGCGGCCGCGCCGAGGGCAGCGCGGGCCGCGACGCCGCGCACTTGGAGCTCCGAGCGCGGGCCAACACCGAAGCCCGCAGTGCTCGGATCGAGGCGAGGACGCAGGCCGACGCCGAGGCGACAGCGCACGAGCCGTGCGCTGCCGCCTCGGCGTCGGCGGTGCCGCTGCTGCGCACGGAGATCCCTCGAGCTGCGCACGGAGCCGTGCACGGAGGGCAAGACGTCGGCGTTGCCGCTGCTGCGCCCGCGGCTGCGGCGCGCAGGCGCCGAGGCCGGAGGCCGGCTGCCCCTGGGCCGCCGGCTGCGGCCGACCCACCGCCGCCGTTCACCGCGGCGGCGGGCCCGCGTCGGGCCCCCGAGGGCAGCTCGCCGGAGGTGGGGCGCGCAGGCGCCGAACGCAGTGGCGCGTGCCTGCGCGTGGAGGCGCTCATCCAGGAGGCGGGCTGCCAGCCTGCCAGCTCGGCGCGGTGGACTTCGCGGCTGGTCCACCGACCGGGCTGCCTCGCCCAGGAGGCGAGGGCATGCGGGCCCACGCCAGGAGGCTTTCTCGACGGTCGGCGCGGCCGGGACCTGTCGGACCTAAACGCGCCGGAGAATCGACGAGACCGAGCCCGCGCCGGCGATAGGCTCGCCGCCACGTGGGCTGCTCTCGAGCCTGATGAAGTTCAACGAGACGATCGCCGCCCGCGTGGAGTTCGGCAAGGAGGGGGCGATCCGCCGCGCCAGGTCTCTGCATCGAGCTCCACATGAGGCAGTTCGCGAAGGGATGGCTGCTCTTGCACGAACGCCACTGGACGGCCGAGCCCTGGAACGACGACGACATGATCGAGAGCTGCTCGGCGCAGAGGGCGCGGAGCGTAGGCGCGGTGGCCAGTGGAATTTCGGCAAGAAGGTCCGAGGGGTGAACGGTGAGATGACGCCCGCGATAAGGCCGACCAGCTTGCGCCGCAACTCGCTGGACATTTTGGACGAGGTCGCGATGGGCTGCCCCAACCAGCACACGCCGCAGGCGCGCGCCCACGCCGACGCCCTGGACGGGAGGACGTCGCACGCCGAGCGATACCCACTGAGCTTGATCCATGCCATCCTCCGGGGATGTCGTCGCGCGCCTCGACGGGGCCTTGGCGTCGGCGGCCTCGCGCCCTGGGCCCGACGCCGTCGGCTACCCAATACTGGACGTCGCCGAAGGTCGGGGGGCGGAGCCGCCGCAGTCCGAGTTCTTCGACGACGCGTCGGGCCTCTCGCCGGACCCAGTCCTGGCGAGGCTCGGGGGAGGGAGGTGAAATACGTTGCGCGCGACCTGGGCACGCGAGCTCGTCGATCGAGACTTCGCCGCGAACCGCGCGGGCGGCGAGCAGCCCGCCCCGACCCGCTGGGTCGACGCGAACAAGGGGTCGGGCGAGTCCAAGGGGCACCAGTCGCGGCCGGTCGCGATGGAGACCAAGCGGCGGAGCACCATCGACGCCCAAGACAAGGACGCGGTCTTCAGTGCGACGCCGCCTCCACAGGGTCTACGTTAATTGGTTTGCCACCCGCGAATAAAGCGACAACAACGCTCGCAGATAGACCAGGGCTCGCACGGACGGGGTGGCGGTAGCCCAAGCGATTAACAGGAAGCGGCCGCGCCACCTTCTTTCCGGTGGGCAGCTGGTCCTGGTCGTCTCGGAGTCAGGCGGCCGACTGGCCGACGAGCTGGTCGCCTTCGTCCGCTCTCACGGCCGTGACTTGCCAGACACCGAGCGGGGGGCGCCGATTAGCACCGCCCACCAAAATGATTCGAAAACGTGGAACAGAACGAGTTTGGCTTTCTCGCCGAGACCATCTCGGACCTGGTAACTCGCGCCCCCCCCCATCCAGGCCCGGGGGCGAGGGAGGGGTCAAGCTAATCATCCCCGCCCGAAGGACAGTCGCCCCACTCACCGCCATCCGCAGTCCCACCACAAAAGTAGCACCCGAGTCTCAGTATAGACAGAGGCCGCTGTCGGCTGGCATCGGGAACCGATGCAAACGCAGCCAGGCGCGCGACGCACACGAGGTGCACCGCGCGTGCCACGACACTCTCATCATCCTGGACAAATAACAATACAACACGATCGCGAAGCGCTCGCGCATGGTCGAAGATGATGCCGAAACGCGCGTTTCGATTTTTTGTTGACAGGGATGGTGGGCATGCACACGAGTTGCAATAAGATGCCCCCCCCCCCGTCATCCCTGTCAGACAACAGTGTAAAGTGATAGCAGGGCACCCGAACATTATCTTCATTGTGCCGCAAAGTGCGCGTGTATGTGATGTATTGTTTTTGAAACAGGGATGGCTGGGGGGGGGGGCATTGTTCCTGGTCTGTCGCCAGTTTGGTGTGATGGGGGTGTTTCCTGATATGGAGCAAGGATTATTTCCTCCCCGAAGGCGGAGACGGTGGGGGACAAGAGAGAGAGAGAGAGAGAAAAAAAAAAAAAAAAAAAAAAAAACGTGGACCGCCTTCGTCTTGAGGGCTGGCGGGGGTGATCAGATGCCAGGGCAGCTGCACTTTCCTGGATTCCGCCCCCCCTTTTTTCCGGCACCGAAAATATGGAGCCCTCCCAGGGCCTCCGGGCCGAGCCCCAGCTTCCTGGAGGCACGACGAGGCACGAATAAGCGACTAGAGGGGCCCAGAGGGCACAAGACGGCCGAAATCGTTTCCCAGACAAGCCCACAGGGCTCAAACAGGATTTTTCAGAGGCGCGAGGCGAAGCTGCGTGGGCGCGCGAAAAGGATGACCCCGCCGTCGCTAGGGCGATTCGGGTGCAGGGGACCGCCCTTTCCGCCCCTGGTGACCGCGGTGGCCCTGGGGGTGCCCCGCCATGGTGTCCTGTGGTGTCCCGGTGGTGTCCCGTCGGTGCCCCGTCGGTGTTCCATCGGCGGCGGGCGGGTGGTGGCCACGGGTGTCCGGCCTTGGAATGGATAGTGAAGTCGATAGTGAGATCGCTCTGACAGGATGGACGGTGAGGTCAAGAGTGAGATCGACAGCAAGGTTGGTTGTGACATTGGTTGTGAGATCGATAGCGAGATCGATAACAGGATGTCGTGGGTGAGATCGATAGTGCGATCGATCGAGAGATCGAAAGCAAGACCTATGGTGAGACATACAGTGAAATCGATCGTGAGATCGATGATGATATATATATACATATAGCAGGATATATCGAGCGTGATCGATTATGTGAGGTCGATCGTGGGATCGATCGAGTGAGTTCGAAAGCGGGTTCGACCGTGACATTACATCGCAGTGCAAGCTCGTCGTCACGACGCGTCGTCGCTAACTCGAGGGCGCGTCACCAGCCTCGTCACCATCACACCCATCGCGTTTGTCGGCTGCTGGTGCGTTCCCCCCCACCCCAAGCCTCTTCATCACCCGAAAGGTGGTCATACACGTGCTGTCCGAGATGCCTCCCAAGCGGGCCCAAAGAAGGGCCCATGTCGGCCCAAGAGGAGGAGGACGAAGAGGAGGAGGAGGAGGAGAAGGAGGAGGAGGAGGAGAAAGAGGAGGAGGAGGAGGAGGCGGAGGAGGATAAGGAGGATAAGGAGGATGAGGAAGATAAGGAGGATAAGGAGGACAAGGAGGATAAGGAGGGGGAAGAGGAGGAGGAGGACGAGGAGGAGGATAAGGAGGAGGATAAGGAGGAGGATAAGGAGAAGGAGGAGGAGAAGGAGAAGGAGAAGAAGGAGGCGGAGGAGGAGGAGGAGGATATGGAGGAGGACATGGAGGATAAGGAGGAGGAGGAGGAGGGGTTCTAGGAGGAGGAGCAGGAGGAGGAGGAGGAGGAGGATAAGGAGGAGGATAAGGAGGAGGATAGGAGGAGGAGGAGGAGGAGGAGAAGGAGGGGGAGGAGGCGGAAGAAACGGAGGAGGAGGAGGATAAGGAGGATAAGGAGGAGGAGAGGGAGGGGGGGCTGGACAAGGAGAAGGAGGAGGAGGATAAGGAGGATAAGGACGAGGAGTGGGATGATAAGGAGGAGGAGGAGGAGGATCAGGAGGAGGAGGAGGAGGATGAGGCGGAGGAGGAGGAGGAGGATAAGGACGGAGGAGGAGGGAGGAGGAGGGAGGAGGAGGAGGAGGGGGAGGGGGAGGGGAGGGGGAGGAGGAGGAGGAGGAGGAGGAGGAGAGGAGGAGGAGGAGGATAAGGAGGAGGAGCAGGAGAAGGACGAGGATAAGGAGAATAAGGAGGATAAGGAGGATAAGGAGGAGGGGGAGGAGGAGGAGAATAACGAGCAGGAAAACGAGGAGGATAACGAGGAGGATAACGAGGAGGAGGAGGAGGAAGAGGAGAAGAAGAGGGAGGAGGAGGAGGAGCAGGAGGAGGAGGAGGAGGAGGAGGATATGGATGAGGCGGAGGAGGAGGAGGACGAGGAGGAGGATAAGGAGGGTACGGAGGAGGAAGAGGAGGAGAAGGAGGAGGAAGAGGAGGAAGAGGAGGCGGAGGAGGAGGATGAGGAGGAGGAGGAGAAGGAGGTTCCCAGTATGGCCCATGAGCTCCCCCAACAAGAGGCTCTATTCTGGAGGGCCCGGCACGGCCCCACGACTGCCCGGGCCGGCCCCTTCTGCCCTCACAGAGGCCCTCAAGACGGCCAACAGTGGTTTTAAGTCGGGCCCGTCCTTCTACGGGAGGAATGTTCGAAAATAGTCGACAAATAGTCTGGGGACCATTTGTGTTATTTCTTTTCTTTTTTTTTGCGATTAATTTTTGTCGTCCAGATCCGCCTGTAGAGGGGGACACGCCCAACCTGACAGTGCTCCCGTGTGACCCAAGAGGGTCCCGAAGAGCGGTTCCAAAAGCACCCGAGTCGGCTTTTCCATCATGAGTCAAACAGGCTCCAGACCGTCCAAGCATGCTTGGGGGAAGCCAGAAAGATGCGTATGATGCGCTCGAGAAGGGGGGGACGCTGCACTTGCGGCGCGCATGGTGTGAGTGGCCCTTGCGGCGTGTCCGACATAGCTTGCACGACATACCTTACACCGCAATGCTTACCATATACCTTATACCTTACATGGCTGGCACTGGATAGATTGCACCAGCAGCTCGCACCACATAACATGTACGACAACACGTGCGCTACACATCTTACACCACATATGCTACACCACATAAATCATACAACACTGCTCCTGCTCGCACCACAGATTGCGCCACACAGGTTGAATCGCGTGGCTTGCGCCAAGTGGCTTAGACCATGTAGGTTGCATCACGTGGCTTGCACATAAACAGTGCAAGAGGTCACTGTTTTGTTTCCGCGCTGGCAAATGCGAGATTGTGTTGTTGTACGAAATGTCGGGAGTTGGAAGGCCGCATGCGTTTTTTTCCCCAGCACTGAACGGAAACGTTCAACACAACAATTTCGCAGCGCTTGACAGCACAAAAAACAAGCAGTCCTGGTTCGGTGCTCATCCCGGAAATCCGTCGAGCAGTGCATGTAGTAGTGGCGTTGACCGGCCTTGCGGTAGAACCCGAGCGCTCGCGACGCACGCGCGTGGATGTGTACACCTATCTGTGTGTGTGTACAGTTATATAGCTGTGCACACGTGCGCGTGCGTGCGGACACACACGTCTGCAGTCAATGTGGCACAGACGTGCCCGGTGCGCGCACACCCCCGAAAAAAGGCGAGGCAGCGCACGCAGCACCCACGGGCGGCGAGCCGGCGGCAGCCCGGAGCAGCGGCGGGGGCGCCCGCGGAGGGCCCCCGTGCGCGGGCGGCGACCGGGCGAGGGCCTCGAGAATTCCAGCCGACGCACGGCGCGCCCTCGGGCGGCCGAGGGACGAACAGTGGGCACGCAACGATGTGTAGGGTTAAGTCGGGGCTGTCCCCCTACAGGAGGAATATTCAAAAAGAGTCAAAAAAAAGCACGGGGACTAGTTTTGACGATTGTTCGACTATTTGGGGCTATTTTTGGAGTGTTTAAGATTTGTCTTCCGAAATCCGCCTGCAGGGGGACACGCCCGACCTAAATGTAGGGAGAAGAGGGTCATCATAGAAAACAAAAGAGCCCCTAACCCTAACAGCACGAGGGAGAAGTGGCCTCACTTAGGTCCCCGTCTTTGCATGGGGGATGATGCAGCTATGGGGTTTGGTCTGATATATCTGCAGAAAAGACCCCCGTATCCCTAATGGTTATCCCCCTCCTAACTTAACGTTCCATCCCAAAGGGTTATGGGTACCTTTTTATTGCTTGTCATATCAGCCACGCGCAGAAGGGGGGGGTCAGACGGGTCTAGGGCGAGGATAAGTCCGTTCCAGAGCGTTCCAGAACGCACTCAGAGCGTTCTGGAACGCTTTGAGAAGGCCGCGGCGCCCGATACATCTTGGTAGTCCCAAACGTGGTGGTGACAACACCCAGCGGTGAGTCTCGGGCGATGTGGTGTCACCACCCGATTTGGGGACTCGCGCGGTTTTCCGAGGATACCCTGAACGCTCGTGGGCCCAGGAGTTACAAACCCGGCGGCGAGTACGTGTCCTAAACCCGGCGGTGTTTTTCGGGGGATTCCATGTCACCACCAAATATCTCACCACTTGGGGGGGCTCCTAAACATCCTCCAGATCCGCCGAATCTCAGAGATTCTCGATTTATCCGTACCCGATGTTATCTTGGTCTTAGTTTCGTCTTAGGGAAGCCTTTTCACCCCTCCCTTAGAAAGAACCCGTAAGTGCGAGCATCGTTTGGGGAATATACAAGTTTAGGCCTCTGATGTTAAGACGAACTGACAATACAAGGAGTTATGGTTGCCGAGATGCAGACTTGTTGCCAGCCGTGTGATGATTACGGTTGCTTTATTGTGCTGCTAAGTGAAGAGTTGTTCAGTTGCTGAAGCACCTTCCGCACAGCCGTTTGGACCCCACGAGAGGGGGGAATGTGGATTCAGCGGTCGTGTTGCCCCATTGTTCAAAAACATGGAGCAACAAAATAATAAGTGTAACAAGTATGTAGAATAGGGGCCCAGGTGGAGGAGGAGGAGGAGAAGGAGGAGGAGGAGGAGGACGAGGCAGGGCTCGACTTAGACGGTGTGATGGCAATTTCGTGGAACGGTTCCGCTTTGTTGTTTTTGCTGCCGAGGTGGATCGGAGACAGAGCAAGGGAGAACGAAAACACAACGAAAACAAAAAGCACTGTTTTGGTCGAGCCCTGCGAGGAGGAGGTCAGAACGGAACGTCGTCGTGGCGGGCGTTTCCTGGCCACACCGCTCGGGAAACGATACACCACAAGATCGGTGTACTAGATGTTCGGGTCGGACGGGCGCCTCCAAGGAGAACGTGTAGTAGCACCAGTATACCTCGGTGCGCCCCATGCGAGGAGGACGCCAGAACAGAAAAGGAGCACCGCCACAGGCGACGCCGAGCTCGACGCCCTCCCCGACGCCCGAGCCCACACCGAGCCCTTCATCGAGCCCAACGCCGAGTCCCACAGCGAGCCCCTCACCGAGCCCCACGCCGAGCCCGACATCAAGCCCGACAGGGTCTCCAACGTCTTCACCGAGCCCCACAGCGAGCCCCTCGCCTGGGCCCACACCAAGCCCCACGCCAGGCCCTTCATCGAGCCCCACGCCGAGCCCCACACCGAGCCCCACACCAGGCCCCACACCGGGCCCCACGCCGGGACCCACAGCGAGCCCGACGTCAAGCCCGACAGGGTCTCCGACGTCCTCACCGACGCCGAGCCCGACGCCCTCCCCAACGCCCGAGCCCACACCGAGCCCCACACCGGGCCCTTCGCCGAGCCCAACGCCGAGTCCCACTGCGAGCCCTTCACCGAGCCCCACGACGAGCCCGACGCCAAGCCCGACGTCCAGCCCGAGCCCAACGCCGAATCCCACAACGAGCCCCTCGCCGAGCCCCACGCCGAGCCCCACACCGAGCCCTTCACCGAGCCCATCGCCAAGTCCCACAACGAGCCCCACGCCGAGCCCGACATCAAGCCCGACAGGGTCTCCAACATCTTCACCGAGCCCCACAGCGAGCCCGACACCCGCGCAGAGCCCTACACCAAGCCCCACGCTGGGCCCTTCATCGCGTACCTCCGAGAGCGACGCGCAGTTCCTGATCCAGGCCACCTTCGGGCCTACCCGCAGCAGCCTGGAGGAGCTGAGCCGAGCGACGCTGCAGTCATGGGTATGGACACAGCTTCAGGCCCCAGCCGAGTCGCACCGCGAGTATTACCGCAAGCGGGTCAGCAGCCGGCGGGCCGACGGCAATCTGATCGGCTCACCGCGGTCCTTGTGTGCGTACGGTTCCCGTTGGCATTCTTTTGCCTTCAGTGCCGCGGATGAGGGGAAGCCCATCAGCGTCACGGGCAACAAGATATACGTCGACGGCGTACACCACCGGAGCGACATCGATCCCACTTATGCTGGAAACGGCCTTCCTGCCCCCGTCCATTGTACGGACAACGCGATCCCTTGGATGGTGAAAGGACATGGAAGTTGCAGCGATTATGATATTCAGTCGGGGTTGTGCGGCCGCAGCGAGTCTTGGAGAGCAAATATGTGGTGCCAGCAGACCTGTTTTGATCAAGGCAACCGATACGGGACGGACGACTGCTCTCCAGGTTGGGTCTCCTTGAAAGTTTCCGGCTACCTCTGCAACGTCGAGGATGAGCTGGGTGGCGTCCTGGGTATTGGAACTTCGTCCTGCGACAACAAGCGCTACTTCTTGAATCCTGCCATCTGGTTCTCCAGCTCCCCGGGCGACCCCGACACGTCGCTGACTTTTGACCAGGTTAGGCTTAAGTCGGGCGTGTCCCTCTCCAGAAGGAATATTCAAATAACACCAGAGAAAACCCCAATCAGTGGATGGTTTTCGCTGAGGGGATCGACCTGGAACCCGGACGCCCGGGAACCCAGAACCCACCGAAATCGGCCCGGAACCAATAATCGGGAATTTGGAACCGGGAACCCGGGAACCCAGCCTGCTACCAAAATCGGCGGGAAATGTTCGCCAAATCTTTAACTTCCGCTAGGACCCCTTCAGTGCAAGCACTGATGGGGGAAAATAGTCAGTAGTCTGGGGACAATGTTCTACTATTGCTGGCCATTTGGGGTATTTGTTTGGCTATTTCTAGAATCTTCTTTCCAAAATCCGCCTGTAGGGAGACGTGCCCGACCGAAGGTCAGGCCCGGGGTCATCACGCTCGCGCAGCGCCACGGCGAGCCCAGCGCCTCGTGCGACCTGGGCCTGTTCGTGCACCACGGCGGCCAGTACTACGTGTCCGACCCGAGGCTGAAGACGGGCGTGTCACTCTCCAGGAGGAGAATTCAAAAATAGTCGGGGGACGATGTTTCTTCTATGTTTGGTCACTGTTGGTTTTTGCTGGACTATTTTCTATTCTGCCTCCAAAATCCGCTCGCAGGGGGACATGAAGATAGTCGCGGGACGATCTTTCTACTATTGTTGACCATTTTGGGTTTCTGTGCTTGACTATTCTCTGTCCTGCCTCCAAGATCCGCCCGTAGGGCGGGCATGCCCGACCTGACCCGAGGCTGGAGCTGCTCCAGAACGACCTGGCCTCCCCCTCGGGCGGCGACCAGAACGCCTGCCGCGCCGTGCCGAGGACGTTCCTCAACGAGGGCAGCTGCCAGCTGCGCGCCGCCTGCGGCGCCCTCGCGGTGGGCGACACCTCGCCCCCGGCGACCTTCGTCCTGAACGCCGCGACCTTGCAGCTCTTCCACGAGTCCTCGGCCCAGAGGTACGTGTACGAGGCCGCGGGCTCGACCTGGCCGGTGTTTGGGCGATTTCGGGGGCCGCCTTCGTTTTGACACCGTCTTGCTGCAGAGGTGGATCGGAGACAGACCGAGTCTCAAGCAGTGGCGAAGCGTCCTGGCGTGCCTATAGGCCGCCCAAAAATGTTCCAAGAACCGTTTGTGGCTTCCACGAAATGTTCCTAGAACATTTCTGGCTGGGACTGTCTTGTTTTAGCACATCGGGTTCATGTTCTAAGAACACTGTTTTTGTTAGAAAATCGTTCTGCGTTCTAAGAAGATTTCGTGGTAGACCTATGGGAATGCCGGGACGGTCCGTCCCTGCTCAAACGAGGGAAAACGAAAGCAGAACGACGAAAGAAACCACTGTTCTGGTCGAGCCCTGGCGGTGCGAGGTCACGGGCCTCGTCGACGTCGCGTCGCCCTGCGGGAGGCGCTCGCGGTGGAGGCTCCTGGACTGCGGCTCGGAGGCGTGCGGCGAGAGCGTCGGGAGCGCCACCGAGGCCGCCGCCGTGGCCGCGGCCCTCTCGCAGGAGGCCGGCCCCCTCCGCGACGTGTACGTGAGCTGCGAGGGCGTGGCGGCCGGTGCCATGGCGGCGAGCGTCGGCCGCGCGCAGAGAGGAGGAGGAGGAGGAGGGGAGGAGGAGGAGGAGGAGGAGGAGGAGGAGGAGGAGGAGGAGGAGGAGGAGGGGGAGGAGGGGAGGAGGGGGAGGAGGAGGAGGAGGAGGAGGAGGAGGAGGAGGAGGAGGAGGAGGAGGAGGAGGAGGAGGAGGAGGAGGGTGAAGGGGGGTAGGGGGGCAGGCCTCTCAGGAGCATCAGGAGGGAAAGAAACACACAGGCACAATGAATCGTCGATTCCCCCGAACATATGCGAAAAGATGGGGAGTGGGGGGGAAGACAAGAACCCAGAAAATATAGGAAAATATGGGGAATCATGTTATTTGTGTGTATTTATTTGTGTGTCACAGGGCCCCTTCAGAGCAGCCCTGCTGCTTAGAAGGCGCGGGCCTTGTCTGCAGATGTGAGGCCGGCGCCTTCTAGGAAGCCGCCGCCTTCTAAGAAGCCTTCCCCCCTCCCCCCTACCCCCTTGTGGGCGCCGCCAAGAGCTAGGGGGGGAAGTGAGAAGGAGGAGGCCTTCTCGGAAGGCGGCGGGGCTTCTCAGAAGCCCTCGCGCCTCCTGAGAAGTTTTCTGTGTCTTCGGGGCAGGCTCAGAGAGAACCTCTCGCTAGGCCTGAGGCCTTCCGAGCCTTCTGAGAAGGCCCGCTCCTTCTCACTTCCCCCCGGACTCGCCGCCGAGGTGCCGTCGTCCAGAGTGGCGCCAGCTACTTCATGCACGTGCACTCCAACGAGCACAACGTCTACGACTTCACGAAGTGGGTCAGCGACCACCCGGGCGGCACGGAGCCGATCACGCGGTGGGCCACGGGCGACTTCAGGCTCGAGTTCCCGTCCTGGCACCCGATCGGCCGCTGGGCCACTGCGCAGCCGTCCCTGGAGTACATCGGGAGGCTGGGCGACACCGTCGACTTCGAGGCCCTGCCGGTGGCGCTTCAGGCCGCCTGGACGGTGGGCTACGAGTCGTGCGGGTCGCCTGGCGAGGTGGCGAACGATCCGAGGCTTGGGCACCATTTCAGCTTCTACACCGACTACACCTCGGGCCTCAACGACCTTGATTTCGAGGTTCCTTCTTTTAGACCTTCGTCTGAGCTCTCCAGAACAACGGTATGGACCATGATGGCGCTGGACGCAAATGACCAGCTACGGCAACGGGCTGCTTGGGCGCTCTCTCAGATCCTGGTGGCCAGCACGAACGGCCTCTCCCAGCATGCCCGGTTCCAGTCAGAGGGCTGGGTGAATTACTACGACATATTCGTGCGGAACGCGTTTGGCAACTACCGCGATGTGCTCAGGGAGGTCACCTACAGCCCTATCATGGCCGAGTACCTGAGCTTCCGGAACAACCAGGCGCTGGACTCCAGCGGGAGCTACCCCGACGAGAACTACGCGCGGGAGATCATGCAGCTCTTCACGATAGGCCTCTGGGATCTCAACCAGGACGGCACCAGGAAGACCGACGCCAATGGAGACTTCGTGCCCGCGTACAGCAACGACGACATCATGAACTTCGCGCGCGTGCTCACCGGCTTCACGGAGCAGGCCGAGCGCCCCAACATCGAGAGCTACAACAAGGGCAACAGGATCGACGAAGGGAGACGGCATCGCTGGAAGCCGTCGGAGGCTCGCGCGCGGCTCTCGCGGAGTGGCGCTGGGGCCCCCCTCGGCGGCGCCCCCCGCGCCGACCCCAGAGGTCCCCGCCGACCTCCGCGCGCTTCTGCCGATGCGGGTCCGGGGCAGCCGGCATGAGTGCGGAAAGAGTGGGCACGAAGGCCGACAGCATCAACGGGGTTCCTTGCCGGCGTCGCGGCGGTTGCTGCTCCTCCGAGGCAGAAGGCCGCCGGGCCACCGGCGGCCGTTGTCGTCGGCCCGGGGACACACACTTGCTGTTGGGCAGCGTGCCCATCGTTGGCCGCACCCATGTCGGGCGCCCAAGAAGAGGAACTTTGTGGACCCGATGCGGATGGTGGGGGACTGGCACGACGTGTACCCGAAGCCAGACCTGAGCGGCGGCTACTTGGGCGACGGCTACCCGCTGTGCTCGGACCTCCCGCCGCGGGCCTTCCTGCTCGAGGGGGCGAGGCTCTCGAGGGCCACGAAACGGCACAGCGGGGCCCACGTCGATCCGATCGGTTCCGGTCAGCCTGATCCGATCCGATTCCCAAGGGAGGACAAACCCCGACCCCGACATTCGGCGTTTACTGAACGGCCCTGGCGCGATTACTGGACAGCCCTGCCCTGCTCGATTCCGTCATTGGGCTCGTTCACTCAACGGCCTCGCTTGTCGGGGTGCGTGTCATGAGAGAGATTTTTCTGCCGTCTAGACTAGACTCTGACATTCCGACGACATACTGTGGCCTGATAATTGCATAGCGGTGTTGTGCGCCGATCTGATTCGGTTTCGACTCGGTGCCGATGCAGCCCGATGCGACGCACGGTCCAGTTGGATCCGATGTCTGGGTTCGATGCTCGGCGGCGAGCGAGGGGGGGGAAAGTGAGAAGGAGAAGGCCTTCTCAGATGGGGGCGGGGCTTCTCAGAAGCCCTCGCGCCTCCTGAGGCCGGGTGGACCCCCGAGCCTTCCAGAGAAGGCCCGCCCCTTCTCACTTCCCCCCTGCGCTCGCCGCCGAGATGCTGCCTGGTCCTGGCCCTTCGGGGGGCCGGGGGGGGGGGGTGACCCGGGAAGCCTGCGCGGAGCTCCGAAACCGGCATGCCTCTGCCAGTCCAATTGGCACAGGCATGCCAGTGACTGGCAGGGGGGCCTCTTCTAACTGGTGGGCCAGGGGAAGCAGAGGCAAGCATTAAAATTACTGGCTGACTTGAAGTCGGGCCTGTCCCCCTACAGGGGGATTTTCGACGACAAATAAGAAATACCCCAAAAATAGTCAAACAATAGTCCAAAAATAGTCTGGGGACCATTTTTTGAGTATTTTGTTGACCTTCTTGGAGTACTTTTGGGGTATGTTCCACTGTTCGTCGAAAATCCACCTGTAGGGGGACGCGCCCGACCTCATGTTGGCGGGGTCCCTCCACGGGTTGGGGCGCAAGGGAAGGGAACGGAGCGCCGTCGCGGGCATGCGCCCCCTGGCCCCTGGCAGGGCGAGGCGGGCGAGGCCACGGCCTCGCGCTGAGAAGCTGCGCACGCCGGGCGCCCCCTCGGGGGAGAGAGGCGCGCTCCACCGGGTGGTTTTGTTCCAGATGCTCCCACGCCTCGGCGGGGGCTCCCAGGGGACGGGGGTCCATGCAAACGGGGGTCCACCAAGGTGAAGTCGGGCCTGTCCCTCGACAGGGGGGATATCCAAAAATAGCGAAAACATATGCAAACGGGGGTCCACGGGCAACGGAGCCTGCAGGCACCAGGGCAACGGGGGTCCACCAGGGACGGGGAGAGCATGCTGCTTCGCATGACGGTGGCGCCAATGAGGGGAATAGTGGATTGGGTCCGTGAGTGGATCGGTCTGGTGCTTTGATGCGGGAGACTATGATGCTTCTTTGAGTTGTGGGCCGGCTCATGATGCCAGTCCTTGCCCACCCCGTCCTGTCTCCAGGGACTTCGCATCCCCTGGTGATGGTGGGATGGGGAGACGGTCCGCCGCCCCCTGCGCTGTTGGGGCTCAAAGGACGGGGGTCCATGCAAACGGGGGTCCACCAGGGCAACGGAGCCTGCAGGACCCTGCAGGATCCAGGGTGCACTGACCCGGGCTACGGGCGCAGAGTCCTGCGGGATCTTGCCAGAGCCTGCAAGGCCTGGCTGACCCAGGACTGCACTGACCCGGGTCAGTGCGTCCCCGAACAGGTACAGGTTCGTGGGGTACGCCTACTCCGGAAGCGACGTTCTCGTGCTGAATTCCAGCTCGGCGCTGTACGCCGCGCTGGCGCAGATCAGGCTCAGCGTGGAGCTCGGCAGCACCCTCGGCTGCCACGCCGCGGAGTGCACCGCCCACAGCGTCCACGTGGTCCAGGCCGGGCAGGGCTATTATGAGTACGTCCAGCCAACTTGCGTGCACCTCTATTTCTACAACGGCCAGATCGGCGCCTCCGGCGACCAGGGGCTCTACCTCAGTGAGTCGCGGCGCGTGTGCATGGACCCGAACGCGCTGTCCGCTGGGACGGCCTGCTGCAAGGGCTGCACCGACATCCCCAACGGATACCTGACCAAGAACGGATGGACTTGCGAGGACATGCCAACCGTGATGTCGTGGGTGATCAGCCGAGGCTGCCCTGACGCCAACAGCAACTGGGCCGAGAACCAGTATTGCCGGCAGACTTGTTGGGACCACGGCGTCCCCTACCCTGGGGACGACTGCTCGGACGGGCTGCTCCAGTCGGAGAACGTGTGCGGGTACGACCAGGAGAGGGTCCCATTCGAGATTGCCAGCGAGAAGTGCGCGAGCATCGGCATGCACATCTGCCAGTACGGGACGGATGGCACCCAGTGCGGCCACGACGATATGCAAGTGTGGACCCCGGACAACTGCACCCTCAGCGTGGAGGTCCGGGACGACGGCACGGTGTTCTCCCAGTGGGACTCGAAGACGAAGCAGAACCCGATCGTCGTGGCGTGGACCGACGGCTTCCCCAGCCCTGGCAATTGCCCCAGCCAGTGCACCGACAGCGATTCTATAGGTTGACGCCACATCCGCTGACCCCTATATAAACTACTGCGCCTCCAGGACTGCATTTCACGAACCTTGTCCGAATCACGACACGGCGCTCGGCATCGTTCCTGCTGCTTCGTTGCTCTTATCGTACCTTTTGGTGCTCGTTTGTGGCCTTTTGGTGGCATCTTGGCCTGTCTGGCCATATCCGGCCGCCTCGAGGCATCGTGGGCCAAGTTTTGGGGCCTGGTTTGGGGTCCCTCAAGTCAAGTCAAGAAGCCATACGCCCATTGGCGCGTGGGCGAGACAACGCATTGCACTGTGCTGCTCCTGGTGGGCCTTGCCTCCGGCACGGCGCGCGTGCTGATGAATGCGAAAATTGGTGCGCGACGGACGCTAGAGAGCAAGCCGCATCACGACTGTGACGCAGAAAAAGAACGGTGCGATCCACGACTGTGAAGCAGACGATGTAGGACAATACAACACGATTGTGGGGAAGCCAAAGCAGAGGGGAGGGAGGAGAGAGGAGAGGGGGGGCAACTAGATAAAAGCGAAATGCCGCATCATTCGTGTTCTTCAACAAACTGTGAAACAAACCGGCACCAGTGTCGAATGTCTGCGACGCACTGGAAGAGAGCAGTATCGGATCCGAAACAGCCCCTGATTTTATTATACAAACACTTCGCCCACTCGTGCCTAGGGCGCCCACGCTTCCGTGCAAGAGTGTCACTAATCGGTCTCACGCTGCCTGGTTGGAAGGTTAATTTCAGGAGCACGTCCGCGTCATTGCTCCGGCCAAGTTTACCAAACCACATAAGTTGATGATGGAGTAGTTGACCATTGTACGGTGTCGGCCCCGCGTGTTGTAGCACACTTCTGTTGGACACCTTCGGAATATAGGAATGAGGAATGTTCAGAATATGGCGCAGACACCTCGCCTGGAACCCATTCAAGCGTCGTCTCTCGCTCTTGTTTAGCCAGGCAGAGTTCAGAGAATACATCACTTTAGTCGTAACCAGCGCCCCAAATACGTTCAGCTTTCGTTCTACCTTGATGGACGTGTGCTTCCAAGCCCTTGTGTATTTTTGAAATTCCCCCCAAGCGCTCCCAAGTCGTTTGATTAACTCTTGCTTCATGTTGCCGCAACTGTATAAGGTTGCTCCGAAATATTTCATTTGTTCGGTAGCCGGAATGGGGTCTCTACTTGGGGCCAAAATTGGTAAGTCGCAGCCAGTCTGTATAAGTTGAAATTGATCCCAATGAAGTTCCATTCCCATTGCTGCACTTGCTTCTGCAATTGCGCCCAGCAGTGACTGTAGTTGACCAGCGTGCCGTCCAACCAACAGGGTGTCATCGGCGTACAGCAGAACAGACAGATCCCCAGCAGCAAGTGCTTTGAGCGATGCTTCGTCCAGCTTGTCTTCTGCGTTTTTGATAACCACGCTCATCACCATGACAAAGAGGAACGGCGATACAGGGCAACCCTGCGCAAGTCCCGATCCTTGGTTTCTGATGCTTGATTTCTGTCGCCCGTCTGCCACGCAGAAACGCCTGTTATCGGAAAAGATTACCCATAAGAGAAAGCATGTGTGGCGGTACACCGAATACCCGCAGTGCGTCCAAAAGAGCGGTCACGTTGATCGAGCCGAATGCTTTCTTCCAGTCCAGCGCAAGCATAGCTACGGCTCCTCCCCGTTCTGCGTGAGATAACTCGATATGTCTGCGCACAACATGAATTGCATCGGTAGTTCCCCTCCGCCTTCTGACACCAAATTGTGTCGTTGTTAGTCTGCTCTCGTCCCCGGCGTCCTGCAGTCTCCCCAGCAATAGCGTTGCCAATAATTTGTAGATAATACTCAACAGGCTGATAGGGCGGTAGTTGTCGCACTGGTCGATATGAGCCGTTGTTTTTGTAGATGGCCGTGATATCAGCGCGTCTCCATTCCGTCGGCACCTGTTTTTCCTTCCAACACGTGTTGATCAGCGAAGTAATCCATCTCAAGCCTTTGTTGTATTTGGCCAATGCCTTCCAAAACTCTGCTGGTATGTCATCTGGTCCGGAGGCTTTTCCCCGCTTTAATTTTGAAATAGCGAACCCAACATCTTTGTCTGAAAAGTCCGTGTCGGTGATGGGCAGGGCGCCTCCGAGTGGCGCTCGACCCACTACTTCCGCAGGCCGGACTTTCCATTGTACTTATTCCAAGTACTTGGCCATCGCGTTCGCCTTCTCTTCGTTTGGGGTCCTTGGGGGGGGAGATTATGGGGGGGCTAATCTCACACGCCGAGAGACCCACAAGGGGTCGGCGGATTCTGGCTGCGTCTGCCCCCTCAGCGTCACGGCGCGGGCCGTCTTCGTCGCGATCCCGAGCAGGTCCGAACTCCTCAGCGAGGCCGGCCGCCTGCGCATCGGCGCCTTCCAGCCCCCGGCCACCGCCGCCTGCCTGGCGCCCTGCGACGGGGAGGTCAGGGCGTACGTGGCCAACGGGGAGGGGAACGTGGACGAGAGCACGGTGTTCGAGTGCGACGGGGTCTACTACAAAAACATGGAGAGCGTCGCGGAAGTGGCCGGGTACAGCTTCCGCAATCCGCCCGTGTTCGCGCTCGCCGAGGAGATGACTGGCCGTTCGGTGAGGGAGGAAGAGGCCTTGGCTGAAGTGGAGGCCCTGCTGGACCACCTCTTCCGCCACCCCAACTTGCCGCCCTTCGTGTCGTTCCGGCTGATTCAGCGCATGGTCACGTCCAATCCGTCACCGGCCTACGTGTTCGATGTCGCTCAAGCCTTCAGAACCGGCGAGTACAATGGCGAGACGTACTCTGGCCAGTATGGAGACCTAGGTGCGACATTCGCTGCTATCTTGCTGCACCCGGAGGCTAGAGGTGATCTTCCAAGTTCTTCTGTGGGCAAGTTGCGCGAACCTTTGGTCAAGCTTCTGCACTTCCTGCGCTCTATGGGGTACATGGATCTCAAAGGACGCCAGATCTTAATGGCGAGCCTGGAAGACGATATCGGCCAGTGGCCCTACGCGGCGCCCTCTGTTTTCAATTATTACGACGTTGAGTATTCGCCGCCAGGCCTGTCCGACGGCCTGTTCGCGCCCGAGTTTCAGATATTCACGCCGCCCCTTGCGCTCACCTGGCTCAACGGCATGCTGTCTTTGGTCAACACCGGCGAACTCAGCCGATGCGAGGGTGGTATCGGTCAGCACACAAGCACTTGCAGTATAGTTGAGGGGCAGTTGAATTTCTCCGTATCCAGCAATGATCCCAACGACGCCTTCACGGAAGTCTCATTGTTGTTGACGGGGGGGCGCATCAGGGATGCGGGTGTTTTCGACGCAGCTCTCAACTCTTCTGGGGGTGAGGATCGGGCGGAACAAAAGGGTAGCATAGGGAAGGGGGGTACGAAATCTGTTGCATGCAGCTTGGACCCGCCCCGCTGCCGGGCCCATTCCTCGGTGCATGGGCGCCTCCCAGCGCCAGGAAAGCAGTTACGTGAGCTGCTTCTCTACCCTGCCCTTTGCTATATCCTAGCCTTTCGTCCCCCCCGAGAGGATTACCTGAAGGCAGCCATGCGCACCGTTGTCATGTCGCCCGAGTTCCACACCCTCGGCGACCCCGAGCCTGCTGGCCAGCGGCCCGCGGCGCCGGAGGAGACGCCCCATCAGTCGCGCTCCTACAAGGCCATGGTCCTCCTCTACCTCCACGGGGGTGCCGACACCTTCAACCTGCTGGTGCTCGGCCACGCGCAGACGGGGGTAGGGGGAGGGGGAAGGCTTCTTAGAAGCACCCCTGCTTCTCAGAAGGCGCGGGCCTTGTCTCTAGATGCAAGACTGGCGCGTTCTAAGAAGCAGCCTCCTCACAAGCTTTCCCCCCTCCCCCTACCTCCTTCTGCGCGTCGCCAAGGTGCCCACCTGCACCAGCCTCTTCGCAGAGTACCAGACCGTCCGGCAGAACATCGCGTTGTCTCAGGGCCAGTTGCTGGGGATCTCGGCCGACACGCAGGCCTGCAGCACCTTCGGCGTCCACCACGGCCTCACCTTCGTGCGCGACCTCTACGTGCAGGGCCAGCTGGCCTTCGTGAGCAACATCGGCGGCCTGGTGCAGCCCACCACGAAGGATGGGTACAGGGGGACCACCCCCCAGTGTGCCGGGCTGTTTTCGCACCTGGACCAGCAGAACGGCGGGATGACGCTGAAGTGCCAGGTCGCGCTGCTTGAGCGAGCCATTCAAACCTCGGCTCCTCGTGCCAGTTCGAGTCTGGCTGGGGCCCACGGCTGCCCAAGAGAGATCAAAGCAGGATGTACAGCCCCAGCAAGTGGGCTGGGAGGCTTCCGCAAGTCCTGGCGAGATGTCGATATGGTCCCGTCGTGTTTGGGTGGCTAGTGTCGGCGTTTCCATCTCGACCAGATTTGGGGCCGTGCAGGAGACCGAAGGCCTCGCGTCGCCAGCCCTCGCGCCTCCGAGTGCCGCCGCCGTCGAACGTGTTCCTAGAGAAGCAAAGAGCGACACAAGTATAATGTTCGGAGGTCCGCGCTGATCTCTTGGATCGGCGCTATTCTCTGGCGCGCGGAGCGCGCCAGGGGCGGCTCTGGAGGCGCAGCAAGGGGGGCCCAGAGCCGATCCAATGAGTCCGCGCCGACCTCCGAATGTTGAAGTTGATGCAGCTGTTTCTTCTTCGATTTCTCGTCAAGAGTGCCCGTTCCTTGGAGTGACCTTTGGTGCGGGCCCACTGGGGCCCTGGATGGCTGCATGCGATCCGACAGCAGCGGCTTCCGCGCTCTGCTTCGGCCCCCCCGCGCCCACCAGAAGCCGCGCACCGAAGGCCACCCTTGGCCTGGGGTCACCCCTTGGCGTGCAGCCGATTATCCCCGCGCGCACGCCGCCCTCCTCCTCCTCCTCCTCCTCCTCCTCCTCCTCCTCCTCCTCCTCCTCCTCCTCCTCCTCCTCCTCCTCCTCCTCCTCCTCCTCCTCCTCCTCCTCCTCCTCCTCCTCCTCCTCCTCCTCCTCCTCCTCCGTCTTCTCCTCCGGGCCGCCCGCGCGGGGCGCCCGGCAAGACCGAGAGCCCCCCCCCCGGCGCCTCGCTTCGCGGCCCGAGATTGCAGGGGCCGCCCTTCTCCAGGGCGGCCTGCGCGGGGGCGCGGGGCGCGATGCTGGGCGGTCTGCGCGGTCTCCTGCTTTTCGGGGGGGGAGTCGCAGAGGGGGGGGTTATCCGCAAGTCGGGCGCATGTCCCTCTACAGGAGGGTTCAGAAACAGTCAACAAAAAGATGTGATGGGGGCGGTGTTTCGATTATGTTTCATGACCATTTGTGAGTTTCTAGTGAAAACAAAAATCCTCCAACATCCGCCTGTGGGAGGACATGCCCGACCTAAGGTTCTCCCAAGGTGGGATCAGGGACCGAACCCGGTTGGATGCTCACGCTTCCTGCTTCCAGCTAGGAGCCGTAGAGCGATTTGTTCCTCCCGACTCCACTGCTGCCCCAACCCCGTCTTTACGTCTCCCCGCCCTCTATCATCGCCAGAGCCATCCCAGACAGGTCCGCGTCGTAAAAGCAAGCACGACGGGCGATGTTTGAACGCTCTCGGCCTCCGGGGGGGGGGCCGTCGCTGGGCCCTGGGATCGTCAGAACACGACTCGCGATAAAGAATTGGCGCCCCCAGCTGGGATCGCGGGGATCGTTCTTGAGCGGGTTTGCCCTCGGCCCTCGCCCCCCCCCCCGTGTTGTACCGATCCCCCCAGGACATCCACCGCTGAGCCCCCAGCCGCTTCGAAATTCCAACTCCCACCCGGGGCGCTCCAGGAAGGGCCTTGCCTTCGAGGACCGAAGGAGTTGCCAGCTCTTCCGCGGCTGAAGCTCGGCGGAAGCCGGTGGAAGAGAAGTTGTCGACGTCCCAAGAGATGATTAGGTTTTGGGGTCCAGGGTGTTTCTGGAATCGGGCCGGCGGAAGCCGGCAGAAGCTCGGCGGCAGCCGGCGGAAGCAGAAGTCGACCTCCCAAGAGATGGCCAGGTTTTTGGGGTCCAGCGTTTCTGGAAGCGGCCACCTGGAGAGGATAGGGTTAAGAGTCGGGCGTGTCCCTCTACAGGGGGGGAGCGTTCAAACATAGTTTAAACAAATAGTCTGGGAACGATTTTCTAGTTGTTTGCCATTCTGGAGCATTTTTTGACGATTTTCAATTGTTCGTCCAAAATCCGTCTGCAGGAGGACACGCCCGACCTAAGGGTAGGGCGGCTCGCCTGGCGTAGTTTGCCTAGCCTCCTGCGGAGCCTGGCGAGGAGAGGGCGCCCAGTCCCGCCTCGGGGGGGGTGAGGGGGGGAGAGGAGGAGGAGGAGGAGGAGAGGAGAGGAGGAGGAGGAGGAGGGGGGAGGAGGAGGAGGAGGAGGAGGAGGGGCAGGAGGAGGAGGAGAGGGAGGAGGAGGAGGAGGAGGAGGAGGAGGAGGAGGAGGAGGAGGAGGAGGAGGAGGAGGAGGAGGAGGAGGGGGAGGAGAAGGAGGAGGAGGGGGGAGCCCGCCCGCGGGGCCGAAGTCTCCTCGCCGAGGCGGGGATGGCTCTCCTGCCAAGGCACGCGACGTCCTGACTTGTGCTCGGGCCGGCGCCCCTGGGAGTCCCGGCCCTGTCCCCGGGGCCGGTTGTTCGTCCTGAGTCGTTTCCTGACGGCCCCGGGGCCCGGCGAGGGCCCCCCGCGGCCGAAAATTGCGAGAAACGTCCGTCCTTTCCCCCCCCCCCCCCCGACGCGATCGTGCCTGGGTTGTCGAGATTGCTGCCCTCGACAGGTGCAGGGAGCTTCCCCCAGGGGCTTTGGAGGGCGCCTGGCCGACGCCACGGCGGGCGAGGGCTACCGCACCACCTCGTTCTCCCTGGCGGGCACGAACATCTGGTCGACGGGGCACGGCATCGGAGCTCGGCGGTGCAAACCAAGACCCCCTCGCGTTGTGAAGAAACCACGACGGGAGGTTCCTCGCTATTTTCGACCTTCCCGGGCCCCTACCGGGCCTCGGGACCGCCAAAAAAGGATTCAGGATGAGAAGCCGGTCCTGGGGAAGGGGTCCAGACCTTTGGGGTCGACGTTTGGAACAAATCACAACATCTGGGGTCTGGTAAGATGGGGTCCAGAGGGATGGGGTCCTAAGGATAGGAAGGGACCCAAGGGTGAACTTACGTTGCTTAAGGAACCTCGTCCTTAGGACCCCACCTCTCAGGACCCGGTCTTTGAGCCACCGAGGAGTGGAGATCATCGACGGAAGTAACGGCGCCGTGCGCCTGCAGGGGTGCTCGAGAGATAGAAATACGGGAACGAACAGTGACATAAGCATAAAACTCCGAGGTCCGCGCGGAGTTCTCGCATTGGCGCTGAGCCCCCCCCCAGCGGCGCCTCTGGCGCCGCCCCTGGCGCGCTCCGCGCGCCAGGGAGGGGGGCCCAGCGCAGATCCAAGAAATCCGCGCGGAGCGCCAAAAGTTTATGCTTATGGCGTGTTGTTCTTCTTCTTCTTCTAAGAAGGCGACACTCGGCATAACCTGTCGGAGGCTAGCGCGGATCTCCTGGGTCGTCGCTGGCATCACCATCCCCACGCCCTTCTCCGCGTCGGCGGCCCAGCGGAGTCCACCACGATCGGCACGAATGTCTGGTCAGGACATGCGAAGCGATGCAGCCACTGAGACCCAAGGGGCACGACCCAGTCGCAGGGTACCCAGCACGATTTGAGACCAGCGTATTCCAGATGCCCCAATATCAAAAAGAGCAGAGCAGCGCAAACGCCACAGCGCGTGGGCCGAGAATGTCCTCCCCACACCCCTTCCCCAGCGCCCGGAGATCCGCGCGCACCTCCAAAAGTTCATGCTTGTGCAATGTGCTTTGCTCGAGGTACCAGGACTTGCAGGCGATCGTGGGGAACACCACCAGCCACACGTATGGCAACGTCTACTGCGAGGAGTACGCGCAGCAGTTCGCCAGCGCCATAGATTCTAGCGAGAAGTTGGGGACGCTCCTCGACTCGGCGACGCTCGCGACGGCCTACGACCCCGTCGGCTCGCTGGCCACGCAGTTGCATCAGGTCGCCCTCCTCATCTCGACGAGGACGGCGCGCGGAGCAGAGCGGGACTTCTTCTTCGCAGAGATGCGGGGGTTCGACACGCACAATGCCTTGGAGGAGGTCTGGCGGGCGAAGCACGGGATACAGTTAACTTGTTCGCCGTCGGGGGCGCCCGTCCCCCCGGGGCGGCTGGGCAGCTCATATACCCCTACGGTGGCACGTCGGGGTATAGGCTGTCCAGCCGCCATGGGACAGACGCCCCTGGCGACGGAAAAGTTTGTGTTCTGCCGCTCCTCGCCCGCGAAGAGGTGCTCGAGGAGAAGTTTGCCGAGCTCAACGCCGCCCTGGAGGACTTCGTGGCCGAGCTGCGGGGGCAGGGCGTCTTCGACTCGGTGGTGCTGGTGACCAGCTCGGACTTCGGGCGCACGCTATCCTCGAACGGTCGGGGCAGCGACCACGGCTGGGCAGGGAACCACCTCGTTCTCGGCGGCAGTGTCAACGGCGGCCACATCTTCAATCGATTCGATAGGCTTACGCCACATCCGCCGACCCCTCTATAATTTACTGCGCCTCCAGGACCGCATTCCACGAGGCTCGTCCGAGGCATGACGAGGCTTGCCCGAATCATCGGGAAATGAAGGATGAGGCGGAGAAGGAGGCCTCGCCTTCGGCGGGCGCCCCTCGCCGCGGCTAGACGCGGCTCGAAAGTCCAATGCGTTGGGGCTCCAAGGGGGGTCGGCGGATTCCCCGAGTCTCTGTTGGATGGCAACAGCATGGACGTGGGGCGCGGAAGGATGATCCCACAGTACCCGTGGGAGAGCGTGATGGTGCCGATCGCGCAGTGGCTCTGCGGGGAGTCGTCGTCGCGGGCCAGCGTTGGTTGGTTGAACTCCGTCTTCCCGAACCTCGCCAACTTCAACACCTCCGAGCACATCATACACGCTGAAACTCTCTTCGCAGGCTTCGAGCTCGTCACGCCGAGCCCCACGCCGTCGGGCCCGTCACCGAGCCCCACGCCGAGCCCCTCACCGATCCCCTCACCGAGCCCCACGCCGAGCCCCACGCCGAGCCCCACGCCGAGCCCCACGCCAGGCCCCACGGCGAGCCCCACAGCGAGCCCCACGCCGAGTCCCACAACGAGCCCCACAGCGAGCCCCACGCCGAGCCCCACGCCGAGCCCCACCCCCGACCCTGCACCGAGCCCCACATTGAGCCCTACAGTGGGTACGAGTTGCTCGGGGACGTTCGAAGCCGAAGACGCCACGTATGTGGGCGCGCGCAAAGGAAGCGGCAATTCTGGATATTCTGGCAGTGGGTACGTTGATTTTCGAAATGCGGGGAACGATTACATCAAATGGACTATCGAGTCTTGCGCGAGTGGAGTTCACACACTCGAGGTTACATACGCGTTGGATGAAGGGGACCGCCCCTTACAGTTGAACGTGAACTCGATCGAAGTGATAGCTTCGTGGAGCTTTCCAGCTACTGGCGCGTGGGATATATGGGGCTCTGTCACGCAGGACTCAGCGGGCAGCTCGGGGGGGAGTGAGAGGGGGGGCTTCTCAGAAGGCTCGGAAGTCCCCATGCTTTCTGAGAAGTTGTTTGGGCATCACCCGAAGACACAGAAAACCTCTCAGAAGGCCGTGAGGCTTCTGAGAGTCCCCGCCGCCTTCTGAGAAGGCCTTACCCTTGTCGCTTCCCCCCCTCGCTCGCCGAAGGACGTCACCTTGTCAGCGGGGTCGAACACAATCCAGATCACGGCCATTGGCTCCAGCGGCGGGAACATCGACAAGCTGACTGTTGCGCTCGCAGGGGCCAGCCCGACGCCAGGCACGACGCCAAGCCCCACGCCAGGTCCCACGCCGAGCCCCACGCCGAGTCCCACGCCGAGCCCCACGCCGAGCCCCACACCGAGCCCCACGGCGAGCCCCACGCCGAGCCCCACGCCAGGCCCCACGGCGAGCCCCACAGCGAGCCCCACGCCGAGTCCCACCACTAGCCCCTCACCGAGCCCCACGCCGAGCCCCACAACGAGCCCCACGCCGAGCCCCACAGCGAGCCCGACACCGAGCCCCACGCTGAGTCCCACATCGAGCTCCATTCCGGGCCCCACGCCGAGTCCAACGGAGAGTTCGACGCCACACCCGACATTGGCGCGTGTGTCGTTAAGCATGGGGCGGAAGAACACACAAGTCACACACACACACAGACAGACACGCACGCACGCACGCACACGCACACACGCACTCACGCACACACGCACACACACACACACACACACACACATACACACACACACACCGTCACACACGCACACATACACACACACATACACACACGCGCGCACACACACACACACACACACACACACACACACGCGCGCGCGCGCCTTTCACCAGATCTGCGACGTATAAAAAAGCTTGCGGTCGCCAGCTCCAATTCTCGCCGGGAACGCACATTCTCGAGCATATATCCAACCAACCCACCCGCAACTGGTTGGCAATATTCAGCGGGCGTGATGACACGAGTTCGCGCGGGCGAGTGCTGTGGTGGCACCGATGGCGAGGGCTACGACAACGACAATGACGATCGGGGTCCTCTTGGGTCCTCTTGGAGCACTCTCGGGGGCCACGAGGGGCCCTTGAGGGCCATCGTGGGGGCCATGCATCAAAGAAGGGGGCCTCTCGATGTCAGCCTTCCCCTCGTTCGGAGGCCGACAAACTGCCTTTGGGGCCCCTCTTGGGGCGCTTTCGGAGCCGTCCTGGGCCCATCTTGGGCCCTTCATGGGGCTCTCTTGGGTCATCTTGGCGCCATCGTGAGGCCTCAAGGGCTCACCGGAAGCGAAGAGGAACGAATCTTACATAAAGGGCACTGGTTCCCCACAGGTTTGGGAAGGAAGTTGGCCTCCTGGCGGGGTCGTTGGGAGGATCCGTGGCCACTTGGAGCCGCCTTGGATTGGTCCTGACGCCTCTTGGAGGCATGCTGGAAACCACATTGAGCAATATTAGGTTATCGTGTGCTGTATTGCACGCCGTCTTGGACTATCTGGGGCTCTCTTGGGGCCATAGTGGGCCACCTTGACTCATATTGGACGATCTAACCCCTCGCGACTGGGCCCATCCAGACCTAGGGAGAGGGGGTCTCTCCTCAGAGGACAAAGAAGGTTGGAAGAACTAACTCGTTGAACCACCTGCGCCCTAAGCGCAGGCAAGGTTCTAGACATGCAACCCTATATACATATGCAGACATGTCTACGTACAGATATGTGCACATAAGCATATACATGTACCTACACAGTTGCATAGACATAGACATACAAACATACATACATACAACATACATATATATGCAGTCATGTATGTATAGATACATGCGCGCACGAATAGATGTATGCATGCATGTGTGTACATGTTTGTACGCACGTACATTATAAGTCCATACATCAATATATGTAGATATATACATATATATACATATGTATATATATATGTATATATATGTGTGTGTGCGCTGTTGTTTGTGTTTGTGTGTGTTCGTGTTTGTGTTTGTGTTTGTGTGCGTGCGCGCCCCAAACAGTTCTTGCACTTAAGGGCTCTGGGTTCTTGTTTAAGGAAGTGAGCCGTGTGGTCGGTCTGGCGGCTATGTGGTCGCCGTCGCCTCCCTGTCGCCGCCTCGTCGCCGCCCGTCGTTTGAGACACGTGGTCGGTATGGCGGCTGTGTGGTCGCCGTCGCCGCCTCGACACCGCCGCAGGTTGCACAACATAGTTTGCACTGCATAGATTACACAAAACTGAACCGCATAGATTACCCTTGCTAAAAGGATATAAGAATCTGCCCCACCCCCAGGGTTAACGGGCCACCTTTTCGTATTGCAATTCACATAATACGAGTCAGTCTTATCGTCCATCCGACGTACGAGCACATACCATCCCAGGCAGGCCGGCACTGGTTCCCCCTCCATCCTCTGCAAAAAGAGTATGCGCGCACATTCGTGTATCAAAAGTCATCAGTTTTCAAAAATCCGTTGCAAAAAAAAACGGGACGAAGTGCACACGCGCGCGTCGTCGCGCGCGCATGCCAAAATCCATCAAAAAATCGCAGGTTTCATGAGGGTTTCAAAATCGAGCGTCCCGAAAAGCGTATAATAAACACATGGCTTCGCAACAAGGGTTTCGGAAAAAGGGTACGCTGGCGCCCTTGCGAATGAATTCTATCGAAAGCCATATGTTTTTTTCAACATGTTCGCAAATTGCTGCCAAACGGGCCGCGCGCGCATGTCGGAATCGTTCGAACGCCCTTGCGCGCGCGGTGTCGCCAGATTCTCTGTAACAAACAGGACGACGTGCACACGCGCGCGTCGTCGGACGAGCATGCCGAAATCCTTCCAAAACATTGGTTTCGCACGGATGTCAAAATCGAGCGCCCCGAAAACATACGAAAACACATGGTTTTGCAACATCAGTTCTCAAAAAAGTGCTCGCTCGCGCTCTTGCGAAATCTCAAGAAAGCCAAAAGCTCATTCACAAGATTCCTTACATTCTGCCAAACGGGCCTTTCGCGCCGCATGTCGACATCATTCGAGCACCTTTGCGCGCGTGTTGGGGGGGGGCGCGATCCTTGTCAAATGATTCCATGCGGGCCTCTCTCGCGCGGCGGCCGTGCGCGCATGTCGAATTCTTTCCGAAACGTTCATCACCGACGCGAGGACGACGTCATCGTTACGGCTGGCGCGGTCAACATCGGCGCCGTCATTGGCGTTGCCGTTTTCATCGCGCCCATCGCCACCATCATCGTTCTTTTCAGCATCGTGTCTACCGTTGTCGGCGTCGCCTCGATACCGCGCCCGCCCAAATCACCGACTCGCACTGAAGCGCCCGCTGGGAAGAGCGCAGCGGTCGGCGCCACCGCGACCGCGTCGGTCGCTGGCCGCTGGCGTGCGAGCATGCGCGGACTAGCGCGGCCGCAGAGATGCACCAGCCAATGCCAAGCACTCATCGCAATCGCCGCCGCATGGGTTTTGCAAACCAAGTTGCGGGTGGGTGGGTGGGGCGTTTGCATGAGCATGGGATTCGCTAGTTCGTTTGACAAAGCCAATTGCACAAAATAGAGCGCACCGCCGAGTCATTCAAACCATAAGTTGCACCGCATAAATTTCGCCAGCCGGATTGCACAACAAAGTTTGCACCACATAGTGCGCACAACATAGCACACGTTGCACCACAAAGGTCGCATCACTTCGATTGCACCACATAGAGTGCACAGCACAGGTTGCACCACGTAGTTTGCACCATTGCATCACTTTGACTGCACCTCATACGTTGCACGACACAGAACGAACCGCGCACATTGCACCACATAGCTTCTCATTTCTTTCCTACAAATTTGGACCTACCACCGCCCCGACGCGGGACTTATCACCACCCCCTGGGGATGTGCAGTTTGCATGCGATTCTGCCCCATCGCCCATCCGAAATATGAGTTCATACCATCCCAGACAGGCGGGAGTTCGCACCCCGCCCCTCCCCATAACCTTCTGCAGAAAGTCATATGCGCGCACGCACGTTGATCACAAATTACCAGTTGTCGGCCATCCCTGAAGACGAAGTGAACGCGCGCGTCGTCGGGCGCGCATGCCGAGATCCTTCAAAAACTTACGCCTTCGTAAGAATTGCAAAATCGAGTGCCCCACAAACATATTAAATCACATGGTTCCGCAACAAGGGTTTTTGTTTTCGCGCTCTTGCGAATTCTTGAGAACACCATGAGTTCTTCAACATTCCCACAAAAACCTACCACTCGGGCCTCTCGCGCACGCATGTCGAAATCTCTCGAACGCCCTTGCGCGCGTTGTCGCAAGAATGCGTTGCACAAAAATGTCAAGACGTGCGCGCGCACGTCGTCGCGCGCGCGCCGAAATCCTTCAAAAAACGGGGGCGTCGCAAGGATATCAAAATCGATGGCCCCGAACAGAGGAACGCATAGTTCTGCAACATCAGTATCCAAACAGAACAAAACAACACCCCAAAAAAGGCACTCGCGCTCTTGCGAATTCTCCAGGAAACCATTGGTTGATCACCACGTTTATCAATTTCGGCCAAGCGGGCCTTATCGCGCCGCATGTCGACACCATTCGAACGCCCTGGCGCGCGCACTGGGAAGCGCAATCCACATCGAGCAAGACAGCGCGGGCCACCCTCGCGCGTCGGCCGCGCGCGCGTGTCGAACTCCTTCCCAAACCTTCATCACCGACGCGAGGACGCAGTCATCGTCGTCGGCGCGATCAGCATCGGCGCCGTCATTGGCCGCGCCGTCGCCGTTGCCATCATCGTTACCAGCGTCGTTGCGACCATCGTCGCGCCCACCGATGTCGACGTCGCCATGCTACAGCGCCCGCCCAAGCGGCCGAGTCGCAGCGACAGGCCCGCCGGCGAGGGCCCGGCGGTCTGCGCCACCGCGGCCGCGTCGGCAACGCCACGCTGTCCGGCCGCCGCGCGCGCGAGCATGCGCGAGCTAGCACGGCCGCAGAGACGCGCCAGTCAACGCCAAGCACCCATCGCGATCGCCGCCGCGTGTGCTCTTCAAAAGAAGTCGCGGGCGGGCGGGCGGGATGATTGCACGAGCAGTGGAGATGACAATAGCGGGTTCCACATGCGACTTGCACCACGTAGACTTGCGCCACGTAGGCTGCACCACGTAGCTTGCACAACATACACGGCAAAACATGGGGTGCACCATATAGGTTGCACAGCATACAGTGAACCACAGAGAATGCACAGCGTAGATTGCACCACAGAGACTGCAGAGCAAATATTGCACAACCCTGATTGCATTACGTGGATTGTTCAAAATATTTGGTTGGGAATACACTGTTTGGGGTCCACGGTGGCTCTAGTAACTATGCGCGTGCGCGTGTGCATACTATATATATATACACACATAATACATGTGCGCGCCGTGGGGGGTGGCCAAGGTCGGGGCCCCCTGCAGGTCAATGGCAAAAAAAGTTTAGTGGCAATTTCGCGCCCGACGCCCGCCGGCGCCTGGCCCTGGTTGTTGGGGGATCGACAAATCAAACATCCCGTTCTCATGGTGGCGCGGAGCACTGGAGGTTCTGGCGGCGCCGCGCCTGACGAGGGGCCGGCGGGCGCAGCTG